AACCTAACCTAACTGAACCATGAATCATAGTGATGGTCATCAACCTAACCTAACCTAACCTGAACTAAAAGTCAAAAATTTTATATTTTTTTTCGAATATTGTGAATTTTTTTTTTGTTGTTGTTCCTTTCACGTCGCAGCTATCGCCATCTTTTGAGAAAGAAAAATTAACAATTTTTTTTTTGAAAAATCTAGATTTCAAGATCAAAAAATAAAAAAATATGTTCCATCTGAAGCAAAACAAGTTTCAAATGAAAATTTTCAATCAATAGAAAAATCAAATCAATGAAAAAAGAAATCAAATCAATATAAAGAGAACAACAACAACAACAACCTTAACATTGAAAATTATCATTCCAAATCAAGGAAAACACGATGTTATCTGTTGCTTATAATGAATTTTTTGAAAAAATAAAAAAAAAGAAATAAAATTTCTAATTTTGGGAAATCTTTCTCCATTGGAATTCCTGTTAGTTTTTTTTCATTCCAAAAAAAACAGAAATTCTTTCGTTTATGAAAAGGATGCGGAGAAAGTGAAAAGATGTAGTAAGTGAGTGAGTGAGAAAATCTAAAAAAAAAACATTCAATTTTCTAATTAGATTTTCAATGATGGCTGCGAAAAACTACAACAACAACATTCAAAAAAAAGAAAAGGGGTAAATAATGATGACGATAATGATGATGAATAAAATTTTTTTTTCTTTCAAATATTTAATATGGGAAAAACATGAAAGATGAAGAAAAAAAACCATGATCATTAAATATGAAATCAACAAGATGCGGGGAAAATGAAAGGGTGCAATTTGTTTACCTGTAATTTGTGGTCGTTGTTGTTGTTGTTGTTGATGAGAAATTAATTCGTGTTTTTTACTTTTTGTGGATGTAAAGTGCATATAAACTTTGAGCATAATTTGAATGATTAGTTCAAGTGCAACTTTATTATAAGGTTAGTAATTATAAGGATGAAATCAAATGTTGTTGTTTTTTTTTGCAATCGATACCTGGATTTCAATTATGCCAATAAATCGAATGAATAGGATTAATAAGATTTCGATTTTTTTTTATTTGGTGAGAATTCTTCTTAGGAAATTTTGTTTGTTTTTTTTTCTTCATTCATAAAATTATTTATCATCATGACTTTGTTGAAACAAAACCAAAAAATTTCAACAACAACAAAATATAATGATTATCATCATGATCATGATAGTGATATTGCGATCGCATGGAAAAATCTTCGTTTTGAAGTGAATAATTGGCTAACAGGAAGAAAAATTATTCTACGACGTTTGAATGGTCATCTTGAATATAATAGCCTTACCGGATTTCTTGGTCCAAGTGGTGCTGGAAAAAGTACACTTCTCAATTGTTTGAATGGTAAATATCGATCCGGACTTTCGGCCGATTCGGAAATCTATATCAATCGACGAGAAAATGATAAACGACGTATCAGTTATGTTCAACAACATGTCCAAGAAACGATCATTGGATCGATGACAATTCGACAAATTCTATACTATGCTTTTCGATTCCATAACAGCTTCAACCATGGTGGATCCGAAATGGATCAACATATCACCAATATCATCAAACAATTGTTGCTCGATCCAAAAGTTTTGGATAGAAGATTCGATCTGTGCAGTGGAGGTGAACAAAAGCGAATCGCTGTTGCACAAGAATTGATGTCATTGAAAGCGCCGACATTTTTGTTTGTTGACGAACCGACAACCGGATTGGACAGCCATGCTGCTCTGTTGATGGTACGTTGTTTACGAAAATTAGCTGATGATCAAAACAATCGATTAACGATTCTAGCATCGATACATTCGCCCAACTCGGACATTCTCAAAATGTTCGACAAACTTTATATTCTGGCCACAGGCGGTGTTTGCGTCTATTCTGGAGTGCCAAAATTATTACCACAAAATCTTCAAGATCATATTGGATTAGTTCATGATCGAAACAAACCCCCAATTGAAGAATATCTGACCATAGCTTGTAAAGGAACTGGTGATGAAAATGTTCGTCGATTAGCGGAAGCAACTTGGTCACAACAACAAGACGAATTGAAGTCATTGATTCCACTAATGAAATATCTACCACAAGGAATCATTGTCGATCATAAATTATTTTCGATCGGAGATTTTCTACTGCAAATCGCAAGAATGTTTCAATTGACATTCATTAAACAAATCAATTCTCGAATCTTCACAATATTTATGGTGACTTTAGTGTGTTTTATTCATTCGAATTTATTCGATACAAATATTCTCGAGCCAGAAACTTGCGTTTCTGCTATCGACTTTTCCGAACCTGAAAATAATCAAACATGTCAAGACAAATTAGAAGACGAATATCGAATTGATTTCTATACTTATTATCAATCAATGATCATTATGGTAATGGGTTATGTACTTAGTGCTATCAGCAGTTTAACATTCTCTTCATTGATAAAAGTATTCAAAAATGAACATCGAAACGGTAAGTATGATATTTGTTTCAAAATAAGTCAAGAAAATATCTATTTCTTGACCGATTATCTGATATTAATGAATACTTAAATTGATTTATAACCATCAAAGGTTGGCACAGTGTTGGTGTTTCATATTGGTCGGTTGTTATTGTTCGATTAATCGATTTTACGTTCATCGCTTTACATGTTACAATATTAATGTATTTTTTAATCGATCATACTTTTATTGATAATGGTTATTTTAATTGGTTTCGATTCGGAAATTTTTTTCTATTTATGTGGATGTTTTTCTTCTACATTCAATCGATTGGTCAATTACTTAGCATTTTATTTCGTGATTTTTCCGATGTTGCTGTTATAATATCAATATTTTCATATGCATCACTTGATTTTAATAATGGTTATATGTTTCCATATAATTCTATTGTTAATCCGGCAAGTAAATTGTTAAATGATATTATGGGATCAAAAATTATATCCTTTGGTCTTATTAATGCATTCTACGGTATTGATCGTTGTGATCGGAATCAAATATCATCGGTTTTGATTGATTTTGATATCAATCAGGATACTGTCTATACTGATTTGTATCGAATTTTAATCAATTCAATCGGTTTACGAATATTGACATTGTTATTATTAATGACCGAATTTAAAAGCTGGAAATTTTCATCGAAAAAAATATCAAAAACACCAAATACTTCTAATTTTTTCACAATCGACTACGATAACTCGAAATGTGAATCGAATCAAACTTCAATTCAGTCAAATGATCGAATAAAATTAGATGATGAAATTGACTTTGAAACATTCTCCAAAAACAAAATTATCATCGCTTGGCGATCCTTGAGTTTGTTTAATTGTGGTTCATATTTAGAACTACGATCTGCCTTGAAACTCGAAGAACCTAAATATATTTTGCGCAATCTGAATGGTCAATTTCGTTACGGAACATTGAATGCTTTGATGGGAACGTCTGGAGCAGGAAAGACCTCTTTTCTCAAAGTGTTGAACGGCAGAGACAAGACTCGATTGAGCAGTGAAACAAGATTCTACCTCAGCAAATTCACTCCGTTGCGAACCTGTTACATAACGCAAGATATTTCTTCGCACCTGACTCCAGGGTTGACAGCCCTACAGAGTCTTATCTATGCAAGCAAGTTGAAAAACTTGGGCGAAAAAGTCGATCATAAAAATAATGCCATGTCAATGTTAAAAGAACTGGATATTATCGATACGGCCAACACACTTGTCAATAAATGTTCGGGTGGACAACGAAAGCGATTGGCACTGGCTTTGGAATTGATGTCGCAACGAATGCCTAATTTCATTTGCATCGACGAACCGACTAGCGGACTTGACTCAAATTCGGCCGAAGTGATCATCTCTTGTTTGCGAAAAATGTCACACAAACACAACATCACAATAGTGGCCGCCATTCATCAACCAAATACCGAGATGCTAATGTTGTTCGATCAGATTTACATTCTTGCCAGAGGTGGTGTCTGTATCTTTTCTGGTCCACCATCACAAATTGATGATCATCTTCAGCTAGTTTCTACTGATCGCGACAATAACCATGAAAAATTTGCCGTCGAAGAAATTATGAAATATTCCTGTTTGAATCACTCTGATCCTCAAATTAAAACAATGTCCGATTCCGCAAACCACTCAATCATAAGTAATGGGTCCGAAGATCATTTGATGACTGATACTCAATACGTTTTAGATGGTCCACATCCCAATCGCACTCGATTTTCCTTAAGATCTGTTATCGTTTTGATACAACGACAATTCTATTTCTATATTAGAAATCCTATGTCTCAATTTCTTATATTGTGGTACATATGTTTTACCTTATTCAATGGTGTAATATTGAAGAGTTTGATTGATGTTAATGTTGTTTTTGTTAGTGGTTGTATGAGTTTCGATGAAGATTTTAACGATTGTTCACGTTCTAAAGACGAAAGAATGGATCTTTTACACACTTATCATTATACAACTTACTTGCTAAATAGTCTGTGTATAATTAGTTGTGTATTTTTTGCTACATTGTTTGTTTTACAGCGGAAATTATTCCAAATCGAACATCGCAATGGTAATTAGACTTTTGATTTTTTGTTCGAAATTTTTATATAGTTTTTCCTTTGATTTTTATTAGGTTGGTATAGTACTGGCGCATTTTATCTAACAAAAGCAATATGTGAAATGGTCATTGTCTTACCCGTTATAATATTTTATCCTATCGTTTGCAATATTTATCAACCAGTTCGAAGTCATATATGGTATTATATGATATTTATCATCATCATGCCAATGATTGCTGTTCAAGGTGCCAGCTATATAATTTCCATAGTATTTGGACGTAATCCAGTGAATCTTTACATTTCAATTCCAGCTTTAATGCTTTTGTCTATTGTCTGCGTGATGATGCCACATGCATTATCACATTTTGCATTCAAATTGATCACGACTTTCAATCTTTTTCGCTATCAAATACAGGCAATTTTGTTTTTAATATATGGTTTTGGTCGATGTGGTCATAGAGAAATTCAAGTGCTATTGTATAGACTTGGTTTGATTCATGATGAACAATTCTATTACAGTATAATGATGACAGCCGTCAATGCTATACTATTTCAATCAATTGCCCTATTATTATTCTTAATCTATAATAATCCATTTCAAAATCGACGTAAACGTATTGAACGTATTGAATTTCGTAATCAACGACAATTACCATCTGAAGTAATTATACCTGGTCTTACTTGTTCAAATGATTTTATTATCAAAACAATTGGCACATGATTAATCGCATTAATATTTTTTTTTTGTTTCTTTTCACAACAAATAAATCAAATGAAATAAAATTAATTATTTTTTTACAAAATTGTAATTTAATTTGATTTTGATGTTGTAATCTCATTCAATAATCGAATTGATAATTGATTAATATGATCGGCATTCAAATGAATGTAAGCTTCTGTTTCCCAAAGCATTTGTAATAATTTAACATTATTTGTTTCATTTAGTATAATCTCTTCGGATAATAATGGATTTATACGATAGAATGGTACATTTATCATTGAACACCATGCCTGGGCACGTTCAACAACACGACCATTTGATTGTGATGCTTGTTCGATTATTATTTTGAATAAATTTTGATATTCTAAATTGAAATTAATAAAACATTTTTAATAGGGAACAATTTAAAAAAAATATTCATCATACTTGATAAAATTGACCAATTGAAATCAAAATCTAATCGTTCAAATAATTTTTTTGGCATTTCACCTGTTCCTATCGATACGATAGCATCGATATCCAAAATTTCTGTATTATTGTTTTCATCCTGAATTTAGAATGACAAAATTATAATTTTTTTTACAAAAATTAATCAATAACAAACCATTATTTTATTTGCTCGTTTTATCGATTCAATTTCGGTTAAAAGATCCAATGTTGGATTATTGGCAACAAGTGCTCCTAATGAATAATACAATTAGAGGATTAATTATTGAAACAACAACAAAAAAAAATTTTACTATTTTACCATCAATATATTGTTCACATTGATTGAAATATGTTGGTGCAGCTGATGTTGCACGTGCAACTTTCCACAGATATTCCCATTCATTATTTTCAATATTGTTATTTGATAATAATTGTTCAGCGCTTAAATAATTACGAAAAAATTCTGCTTTTGGTGGATAATGTTTAACATTTGTAGCCGTGATGAATAATCTATGTTAATAATGAATTATATTTTTCAAAAAAAAAAATTCAAATAAAATCATTTCAAAAAATTACCTTGGTTTCGATGGTAAATCACAAAGCCTTTTCTCATCACCAAGATATTGTTTGATTAGTTTTTCTAAAAGTTCAGTTGAATGTGTTCGGTTTCCATTGAATATTTTATCTTTTAATTGAAAATAAATTGATCGACATTTTAATGCTGTATAGCCGGATGATAAAAGTAAGGCTAAAATACCACCAGTACTTGTACCAGCAATCCAATCAAATATTTCACTAGTTTGTTTTTGTATAATACGTTCTAAATGACATAATATTTGTATAAGTATTAAACCACGTATACCACCACCATCTAAACATAATAATTTTTTTCCATTTTTTTGCTCATTATCATTCTGATTGAAATTTTTCCATAAAAATTCATCTTTATATAGGAAATTTTGTTGAAATGAAATTTCATTGAATAAATCATTATCATCATCGGTATAATCAGGTGAACAATATTCATTACAATCAGTTTTTTTATAATCACATCTTATTGCACCGACTGAATGAAGAATATAGATCATTTTCTTTTTATTTGATTCGGATAGATTAGAATTAGCGGCTAAATGTCTTGATGAATAATGATTTACCGAATTCAATTGATTAACATTAGCACCGAATACAATTAATGATTGTACCAAAGCAAAATTATCAATCTAATAACCGAAAAATTATCGGAGAATTAAAAAATAAAATTCAAATTCAAATTCAAACCTTAACAGCCAAATGAAGTGGCGTGTTTCCATCGGATCCAATCGAATTAACATCAGCACCATTCGACAATAACGAAAGTGTACAATTTAAATCATTTTTCATAATCATTATATGTAATGCAGTATTACCATCAAAATCTTTTGCATTCAAATCACAACCATTTTCTGCTAATAAATCAATAATATCGGATTTTTCACACCAATGTAATGGTGTACCGCCATTTTTTATTTTATCATTTACATCCAATTTATCGACTAATTCTTCATTTAATCCAATATGATGATGATAATGATAATCATCATTAGTTGAAGCACTATTAATATTTGCACCATTTTTCAATAAAACTTTTATACATTCGGCATTATTTTCCTGACAAGCAATATGTAATGGTGTTTCATTTTGTAAATTTTTTTCATTAATTAAATTTTGAATTATTGATTGATTATCGATTATTTGACATAATTTTTCACATATTTTCGAATCATTTTTAGCTACAAAATGAAATAGATTATTTAAATCTTTATCTTTGTTGGTCAATCGGATTGGAATCGAAACTTTGGATAATATTTCCATAGCAATTTTCGAACGTTTCAATTTGAATGCTAATGATAATGGTGTATATCCATCCGAATCATCGGAATAAATGTATGATGATAAATTTTCTGGTGAATTTTGTTGAAAAAATTGAACATCATCCAGATGAACATTTATATGAGCAATATTTTGTGATAAATGATTCGAATAAATAATATCACAGACTTTTTTCAAAACATTTACATTTGATGAATGTTTTTCAAGTAATGGTAATTTTTCTTTAAAATTTTCAAAATAACGTTGTGATTCATCCAGATCATCGGATCTAAAAAGACTAATGAAACAAACCAAAACAATAAAAGTGATGATGATTATTGTAAAATTAACATACCTAAATACTTTATCACGATTTAAAATTCTATGTAAAACAATTTCAAATTGTACATTGGTCCGGTGTACATGTAAAAATAATGATAAATGACGACAACAAAGATCATAATTTTGATCCAAATCATTAATCGATATTAGTTGAATTTCTGTGGCCATTCTTTTTTTTCTCTCAAGAACGGTTTTGTTTTCACTATTGAGAATTACGAAAGAAAAAAAATAAAATAAAAAATAATCAACAAGTTGTTCGGATGAACAGCTGATCGAATGTTTGTTTGTTTTTTTTTTTCGATTCACTCACGAATAAATTCACAAAACCATTTCAACCATAAAAGGAATCGCGATTAATGAAAATAGATTTTGATTTCAGGAAAAAAACTTTTTATTTTTAATTTCAATTCGGGGTTTATTAAAATGAAAACATTTTTGTTTTTGAATAAATTAATCTCACTCGCACTCTCTCTCTCTTTTTTTTAAATCACAAAAATATTTTGTTTTTTTTTTCTCATTTCATTTTCTTCATAATAATGTTGAATGACGAATATTATCACGTAATATTGTATTGACAATCGAATCAAATGCATGTTTAATATTATCCGTATCAGTTGCTGTAGTATAATGTGTAATCAATGTTTTATTACGATTAGCTTGTTCAGCAATTTGTCGAAATTGATTTTCGATAAACATTGATGAACGTTCAGCATCATAATCCGGACCTTGATATTCATCGAAAAAATATTTTAATTGTCTATCGGTGAATATGATTTTCTGTCTAAATAGATCAAATTTATTGAGAAATAGTATCTAAAAAAAAGAAAAATATAAAATAAGATAATTATTGAACAAAACACAATTGAGCAACCACTTACTGTACAAGTATTATGGAAAAATAAATTATTCGATATACTTTCGAATAATAATAGACTTTCTTTTAGTCGATTTCGGCTTGAATCTTCAACCAATGTCATATCATATTCACTTATGGCCACAACAAACAATAATGTTCGAACATCTTCAAAACATTGTATCCATTTTCTTCTTTCTGATCGTTGTCCACCAACATCATACATACGTATAATATGATTATCAACAATAAATTCTGTTTCAACAACACCAATTGTACGTATACGTGATTTAACAATATCAGTTGTATTTGGTATATATTTCTTTCCGGTAATACGATCAATATTTTCAAAATAGCTAAAAATAAGAGAGGAATTCAGAATATAAAATGTTGTTTGAAAAAAATAGAAACATACTAAAGTGCCGAATCATTTAGTTCATATTCAAAACCACGTGCAACAGCTTTTCTTACACCATTATCTTGCCATAATGTTTTGATTGTATATTCAAGATGTGGAAACAATATATGATAATCATCAAAATATTTATTACATAATATTAAATCTTTGGCCAATTCCTGTGTGTAGGGCAAGGCAAACAAAAAAATCAATGTTAAACAAGAGTGATAAAAACAAAATCATGATATCATCACCAACCTGATTAGTTGAATATTGAAAATCAATATTCAATAGCTTCATTCCAGTAACAACATATTTCATTGATGATACAAGATTATCCAAAATAATTGGCTATTGAAAAATTAATTTGAATCAAAACCAAACGAAATATTAAAAAAAACAAAACAAAAACTTACCCTAAATTCAAGCATTTCTTCACGATTATATCCATCATTATGTATAATTTTCATTTGTTTTACTAATGTACTTTTACCACTTTCACCTGTACCTAATATTAATATTTTAATAATTTTATTTGATATTTTTCTTGTCATCAATATGTTTGGTGGTTGTTGGGTTGTTTCGGTTTCGTTTGTTGTCGTTATTTTCTTTTTCACTTTATTCATTTTATCATCATCATTAGTGTTGGATAAATTGTTATTTTTATCATTATCATTACAAAAATCAAACCAAAAAATTGGTTTAATTTTTCTTTGACCATCATCATTATTATCATCAACATAATAATGATGATGATGTTTTTTAAATAATTTTTTCAATGAACAATTTCCCATTATGATGATCAAAGTTGATTTCCAAAATTTTGATTACCGAAACAACAAAAAACTTGAAAATCACAATACGACCACAATGAAGACAGGTGTTGCGAGCACTAACTAACTATACACCATCATCATCATCACCTAAGATCACAAAATTGAATGAATGAATGGTGATGAGGTGTGTGCTTTGCTTTCATCAAGAAAACAACAACACCATGATTGTTGGTTTTTTGAAAGACTATGGTTTATGAAGGACATGGTCACTTGTGTTTATTTTTTTGGGTACCACCACTCAAACAGGACTTGTTCATTCATTCATTCATTTTAGCATGACCACCACCATCATCATCATCATCAGCCATACGTTTCAATCAATATGTTTCTATCTTGTGGTGGGTATATATACCGAATAAATTAACGATCAATAAGAGCAAAAACTTTGTTGATTTTTTACATTTTTTTTCGCACCTTTCACCTTTGGCCCTTATTATTATCTCTAGTTTGTTGTTGTTGTTGTTGGTAACAGGTAAAAAAAAATAATGAAAGATTGGATCAGATAATTGGCTTTTTTTGTCGAATCAAAGTTCATAATGATGTGACTTACATAACAAAACAGTGGATGATGATGTTTGATCAAAAGAAAAAGAAAACAAATTCTCAATGATGGTTTTGATTTTGGAAAGAAACTCGTTGCCTGTTTTTGATGTGATGATATGGTAATGTTGATGGTTGATTGATAATAAGAATAATAAGGATGCGAATTTTCGATCAGATTTGATTTTGCTTGAGGCAAAATTCTTCACCTTTCACTTTTTTTTCTCTTGGCCACATTCGATAATACGATAATGATGATGATGAGAAAATTGAAAATTGAAAACAAATTTCAATCAAACCATGGTGTGAGAAAATCAAGAAAAAATCTCCAGAAAATGAAAAAGATTTTCATCGATAATAAACATTCGATGGGAAACGGATAAAAAACATTCGAAAGAAAAAAAACCTGGAAACTTTTTCTTTTCTGTATTTGTTTATTTTTTCAGGAAATTTTCTCACGTTTTTCAAATTTTTTTATTAATTTCTATAATTTTTTTTTCTTTAAATAAATTACAATAACATTTTTATAATTTGAAACAAACAAACAAACGGAAGCCCCATACAAAAAAAAACCACATTAAGAACAAAGGGAAAAAAGGCATCAGAATATAGACGAAAAATCAAATAAAATTACAAATATCATTCATAATCGATGTTTGTTGTATCCGAATTGAATCACAAAATAATTGTAATCGATAATGAATATTATTTAATAATGATTTTGACCAATAATAAATACGACGATCAATAATATGATCATTATTTTCAATACAATTATTACCACCAAATTCACAAACACGATAATGATGTAGATAGGCTAATTTTGGATCAATATTAAATATATGTTTACCATATAAAAATTCCCAAACAAAATGATTACCCATTTCAATAATATTATCAACTAAAACAATACATTTTGAACGTTGTTTATGAATATTTAGTTCAGATTTACGCCATGTTTTTGTTAATGTTATTAGTTGTTTATGAAGATTTGTTTTATCATCATTATTGGTGATTAATTTTTCAATCTGTTGATCATTTGGATATTGTAGATAGAAAAAACCATTACGAAATGATAATGCACCAATTTTATTTGGATAAAAATGTTCAACATTTTCAATTAAATCGATTAAATTTTTATGATTATTCGGTATAATAAATTCATCCAAATCGATAAACATAACATAACGAAATCGATTAAAACGTGCACGATAAAGACAATCATTTAATGCTGCAAATATACCTTCAGTACGTATTTCTAATTGTGATCGTATTGGTAATTTCCATTGTAAAATTTTCAATAATTCTGGTTCATATTGTTGATATAATCGTAAAATTTGATCCACTTCAATGGAAACGGTATGATTGAAAAAATAAAATCTTCTAACACCTAATATCCGATTAAGCTCAATAAATTCAATCAGATTTATAGTTTTATTATAATAATAATGTAATGGTTTTATACAGACGGCCATTTTATCATTATCATTATTTTGTTGTTGTTGTTGTTGTAATCCATGTATCGGCATTCGATTTGAAGGCACAATCATTTTCATTGTTTGAGCATATTGTTTTAATAATCGATTCAATTCCAAATCATCATCATCATCATCATTATTATTGGAAATATACCAATGTTTTGATAGGGCTATAATCGATAGATAATAATTTGATTTCATTAACATCGTCGATGAATGACCATCATTATTATCCAAAGTATTAATCATAATCATTTTCGGTAATGGACAATAGATAAAAAATGCACTATATTGTAGATTCCAATGTTCACGTATTGGTTTCATTTTACCTTGACGAAACCAATTTTTTTGAATTATTTGTTTACGTCCATTATCATCTTCTTTTTCTTCATCCAATGAATATGAACAGATAATTTTATCTTTACTGGTCAATGTTGTAACGGCAATGATTCTAACAAAATAATCTTGATTATCATTATGATGTTGATGTTGATAATCAGTGTTGAAAAAATTCAAATTTAAATTTGATCGATTATATTGATCAATATAGGCAGAAAATACATAGAATTTATTATTTGATGAACAAACTGGTTGCCAGAAATCATTTTCATCGTCATCAGTTGCATTCGATGGTTGATCATCAGATGAATTATCAAAATTTTTCAAATGACAATTTGAATTATCCAAACTGAAAATATTATCATCAATTTTATATGTTTCATTAAAATTTGATAGAAAATTTTTGAGTGAAAAATATTGATGACCACCATTATTGGTTAATTTAATATTGTAAAATAGATGATAATGATGATGATGATCAATACCATTACCATTAGATGAATCAGATTCATTTGTTTGATCGGTTGTCGATGTCGACGATGTTGTTGTTGATAATAACATTTGTTGTGTAATCAATAACATTATTATTGAAAAACAAATAATAAACATAAACAATAATAAACATATGGAAATGTTTGATCTTTTATCTTTTCCAATAATAATAATTGAATGTTGATGGTTAATAATTGGAATGCCATATCGTTGCAATTGATCATTGATGGCCAATATAATAGCCAATAATGATGATAAAATATTTGATAAAAATTTCATCGATTAACTATTTTTTGTTGTTGTTGTTGTCGTTGTTAAATGAATCATAATCCATAAACAATAAGCTCATTTCATAATTGAAACATGATTTGAAACAAAAGAATCGAGAAGAATTTTTATTCTTGTTTCATTTTCGTTCTTTTTTTTTTGCTCTCAATGTTGTTGTTGTTGTCACCGGATCATCAGAACAAACGGCACATGTATTCCAGCATAATGCAGTATTTCTTCTTCGTTTTTTGTTCTTCTTCCAGTATCATAATAAGAAAAAAATTCTGGAATTCTGCACATGTGTATTTTGGTATTTGAGAATCCAAAAAGAATTTCGATTGAAACTTGAAGAATTTAACGAATTTTTGAAACATCCAATGCCATCTAATGGATGAAATATTTGTTTTTGTCATTATTTCGATTCACTTTATTGAAGAAGAAAAAAAGTTGATTGATATTGAGACGAATCAATTTGTATTTTGAATTTCGATGATGATGGCCGGAAAACGAACGAATGATCAAAAATCAATCAATCAATCGAATATGTTAATGTTGCTGATGTTGTTGTTTATTTCGATTTCTAATTTCGATTTCGATTTTTTTTTGGCAAATTATCCAGGGAATCAAAATCTTCATTCGCTCATCATAAATCAACAAATAAGAAATTTTTTGTCGGTTGGAGAATCCAATTCAATTATCAATGATGATGATATGATAAATTTTCAAAATTGAAAATTTCAAATCAATAAAACTCGAAACGAACGAAACAAAACAAACATATATTTTTCGAATCATTTTTTTTTCAAATATTCGATTTGCGCATGCTTTTCACCATTCTGCCGACCAACCAATCAATTTTCGTCTTTTTTCCTGCCGCCTTTTTCATTACCCGAATAATAATCATTCGAATCGATTCGAATGTGGCCGGGTTCGCGTCTTGAGATTGTTGAATGTTTGAAATTGTCGATTTTTTTCGTTTTCTTTTCTTTTTTTTTTTTGTTGGATTTCATTTCCTTCATTACAAACAAACAAACAAATTCATTGATTCATTGAAAGTTTCTTTTTTCGTTTTCGTTTTTGTTTCGACAAAATATTTCATTTTCGGGCAAAACGAAACAAAAATGAAAGTGTAAATGATAAACAAAAGTTTATTTTCTTATTGGCTGTATAGCGTGTTACCATTTTCGTCTTTTTTCTTATTTTTGGTGAATTCTTTCAATTGTTTTGGGTATACTAAACACAGCCGTTGCCGTCTTCGTAGCCATCATCATCATTATCAAAAGTTTTTTCTTTTCGTCAATCTGCTGTTGTTGTTTTTCCGATAATTTTCTTTGTCGTTTTTTTGTTTTGTTTTTGTGTTTCGGACTCATTCATTTTCAATCTGTCGATCGTTATACACACATTTGGATTATTATTATTTTTTTCTTGTTTTGTCCGATTGATTTTCGAATCGAATATCCAAGAAAAGAAAAGAAAAAGTTTGACACATTTGTTTTCACCATTCAACTTTTGCCATCACCAAAAAACAAAAACAAAACATTCGAAATGGATCGATCAAATCGAATGTTTTCAAATTTCGTTCATCACTATCGATATTATCGATATTTTTCCCCGAAAAAAATGCAATTAATTTCAATTTTAATCATTATAATTTTATCATTATTAATCGATTGTTTTGCATGGAATTTTGGTGAAACATCCAATAATAATGATGGCCAAACATCGGATAAATCATCCGCATCATCATCGTTTTTCAGTTTGGTAAGTTTTTTTTTGAAATGAATATTTTTCTCGCAAAATGTTGCCCAAGTTGATAAAAATTTTCTTCAATTTCGAGTTTTTCAGTTTCGGCAAAATGTCTATTATTCCGAGAAAAAAAGAAAAGAAAAATTTCTTTTCGCAAAGAGACAATTATCAGTCAAAGAGAGAGACAGCTGTTCCTGATAAACTGTTTTTTGTTTTTCGGCTGGGAAAACAAAACTTTTTTTTGATCCAAAAAACAAAAAACCCAATAAAGATCAATTGGGAATATATTTTTCGTTGTTTAATTATTCCGTTTCATTTTTTTTTTGTTTTTATGATCGTTTTGGTCTATTAATTAGCTGTCTATTTTTTGGATCACTAAGATTTTTGCACAGAATCATCAAGCTCTGTTCAAGATAATTTGATTCTTGTCGAATCGAAAATAGAAAAAATATGTTTTGACATCAACATTATTGAATTGATCAAGTGACAGGCGTTAAAGAATATTCTGTGGTTATGTTTAATTACAGTTAGTTAGTTAAATTATCCATCATTCATCAATGAAAACAAAACTTTTTTCTTTCTGATACAAATTGATTGGATACACAATTAATGTCTCTGTCCATTTTATCATAGAACAATTATCGCCCGTCACTTAAATATTTTAGTGGCCAGAAAAAAATCATCATCAAACAGTAATGATATTTTTTTGCATGGTTTTCTTCTTTTCCTCTGTTCGGGTTCATCTTTTTGCTATCATCTTTATCGCCGATGATGATGATGATGATGATGATTATTGAGCAAAGAGAATTGGAAAAACTTTTCCCGTTTCTATTTTTTGACAGAATCGATATATATGAATGGTCCCTTGATAATTGTGTTTATCGTTTTCGAATTCTGTTTCTGGTTTGAATTCTTTCTTGCTTGCTTGCTTTCTTTGCGAATTTCCATTGTTGATTGATAATGTAGAATAAAAAAAAGAATGAAATGCAATCATCCAATGGATTTTTTTTCCATTGAATGTGGTCGATTGGAAAAACAAAAAGTCGATCAACCATAATTTAGTCACGTTCAAAAAGAAAAAAAAATAAATGCTGAATTTTCAGAAATTTTTCTCTGTTCCGTTTTGTTTTGCTTTGTAACGTTTCATCATCATCATCATCATCATCATCTTGATCTTGATCTTCATCAAAACTGTCATTTCATTTCGGGGGCCAAACAAAACAAAAAGATGAAAATTTGACAATTTCGAACTCATCATTGAAACATTCGAAACATTTGGGTGACCAAATTTTTTCCCATCCACAAAGAACGTGTCCGTTTTATTTCGAATGTTTTTTTTTGTTTGGTTGGGTTGAATTATCAGTAAATTTCAAAAAAATGATTCCAAATGGAACGAGCATATGGTTTTGTGAAACAAAATAATTAACATCAAACATCGACAAATGTTGATTTGATAATCTTTTTTTTTGTTTATTCTGTATTCATGTTGCATGATGTTTTCTTTTTGAACTTTGAACCCTATATTGATAAAGATACAACAAAAAGAAATCGAAAATGTAAACTTTGAAACAAAAAAGGTCATCAGCTCCATTATCACGTTTGTTTGTTTAGTTTGTGATTCGTTGTCCTTTCTTTTTCTTTCTTTCTTTTCATTCAATTCTTATCACGTTTTTTTGTCGTCCATTGATTTGTCAAAAGAAGAAAGTTTCCATTTTCATTCAGTTTGATAAGTAACGAAACAAAAAATAAGGAGAAGTACAAATCAAATCAATCAATTTGAATTTAAATTCATGTTGAACGAATTCGCTATGTATTGGGAAAATAATTATTCTTGATTTTTGTCAATTGATTGAATTTTGTTTTGTCTTCCTTTCTCTCCTCTGAACTATTTGATAGGATTTTGGATCGAATGATGATTTGGATAATGATGAAACAACAACCAATGAAATCAACGGTAATGATGAACAAAAAAAGCAGCCATTCATTATGGAACCACCATCATCATCATTATCTACACCAAGTTTAACATTGAAAACAACAAAATCAATCGATAATAATAATGATGATAAAATCATTAATTGTAATTCAAATCATCGACAAAATAATACACAATGTTGTCAATGTGATTTATCCTTAATTATTGATCAATATGGTGAACAATTACGTGGACCAAAAGGTGATCCAGGACCAAGAGGTTTACCAGGATCAATTGGTTTGCCTGGACCACCTGGACTGTCATCATTATCATCCGGTTTATCATTTGATAAACGATCATCATTCGATGTAAGTTTGATGTGTAGAATGTTGAAAAATTGAATTAATTTAAAATCATCATTATTATCATCATTAAGAATGATCATTCGATTATGGATCCATCAATTACATATATGGCTGGTCGTATTGGTGAACCAGGACCACCTGGTCCACGTGGTTTTCCCGGACATAAAGGTGAAAAAGGTGAATCTGGAATCGGTATTCGTGGTGCTAAAGGTGATCGTGGTCGACGTGGAAAAATTGGTAAAAAAAATGATCGGATGAAAAATGAATTTTTTTAAATTTTCTCTTCATTTCCAAATCAAACAAATTATTCTAGGAAAAACTGGTCCAATGGGTCCAAAAGGACCAAAAGGAGATCCTATTAAAATTCAAGTAATATTTTTTTTGATTGAATAATTTCTTCTTTATTGATTTTAATTCAAAAATCATTTCTGTTCATAGGAAATCAAACGTCTAATGGTTTGGGGAATTGAATGAGAAAAAATTTGGTTGATTTTAATTTAAATTTGATTTTTTTTTCTATTTTTTAAGATGGAAAATGGTATTAAAGGAGAAAAAGGTGAACCAGCCAATAATGTTGTTATTCCATATGATAATCATTGGTCATCCGAATCACGATCACGTCGTAAGTTTTTTTTTTGAAGAATTTGAATTGGAAATTTAGTAAAAAATTAAATATCCATAGATAATCATGTGAAACCATATGATTCTGATCATGGTGAATCAAAAAACACTGTAATGATAATCAATGATATGGATGAACTTCAATCATCATCATTATCGAATACTAATCAAGGAATGTTAGCATTTGTTATTAGTGAACAATCATTATTATTACGTGTAACAAATGGTTGGCAATATATATCGGTAAGTTGATTAATTTAATGAATTTTTTTAAAGTTAAAAAATTAAAAATTCATTTTAATTTCAAGCTTGGACGTGTAATCAAACCGAATGAAAATAGCCTACAAACCAACAAGGTAATATGAACAATGATGTTTAAAAAAAAAAGAAATTAACCGATTAATTATCAAGATTTCGAATGATGGTACAACGATTGAATCGGTATCTGGAAATTCTTTGGATGAATATAATGTACCTTCTTCGTCTTCGGTAACGAATCGAGTAAGTAATTTGATTAAAATTACATCATCATATAAGTTGTGGGTGATAATATCATTTATTTTTACAATAGCATATATTACATGAACGAAAGGTATGTTACAAAAATCAATTAAATAATTTTTAAAAAAAAATCATTTGTTTTACTTTTTCGATAGCTTCGTTTGGTTGCATTAAATCAACCATATACAGGAGATATGCATGGTGTACGAGATGTTGATTATGAATGTTTTCGACAATCACGACGTGCCAATTTAAAAGGTACATTTCGTGCATTCATTACATCACGTGTTCAAAATTTGGATAGTCTTGTACGACCACGTGATACACGTTTACCGGTGGTCAATTTAAAAGATGAATTATTATTCAATCAAGTACGAGATATGTTTACCGGTTGGAGTGCACCATTTCCATATCCACCAAAAATCTATAGTTTTGATGGTCGTAATATATTTACTGATCAACAATGGCCACAGAAATTAATATGGCATGGTTCGGATAAAAATGGTATACGTAATATGGAAGCATCATGTGATTCATGGACAACTAATTCTATATCACGATCCGGTATGGCCAGTAATCTATTACGTGGAAAATTATTAGATCAGGAAAAATATTCCTGTAACAATGCATTCATTGTACTTTGTATCGAAGTTACTACTGAACGTGAATGAATGAATCAATGTCAATCATCTTCAGCTATTTGATTTAATCATCTCTCTTTTTTGATACTTATGACTTTTTTTCTGGCTTATCTATTCAATCAAATCATATCACGCATAATCAATCAATATCTAGTCCATTAGTTTCAATAATTTACAAACACTTTTAGAAATTTAGTTAATTACACATCGATAATCAATAGGGCTGCCAATCATGTTTTACTTTTTTAAAAAAAAATTCTGTCTTTGATCATGATGTTTACAATTGCAATTTTTTTTTTGTATTGAAATAAATGAAAAAATACAATTCATTGAAAATCATGGTTGTTTTGTTTATTTTGAAAAAAAGAAATTGTTTGAGCAATGATGCTTGAATATCAAATAAATAAAATGAAAAAAAAACATATTCGACATAATAATGTGATGATAATGAAAAAATAAACTTTACAAATTACATTTTTTTTGTTTGTTACAAAAATGAAAAATTACAAAAAAAAAAATAGGAAAAAATTTTCATCATTGAACAAAAGTGCACGAATGAAATTATATAAAATTGACAAAAAAAAATGAAAATATAATTCAAAAAAAAATTTTGTAATCTTTTCGTTTTGTTGTTGTTGTTGTTGGTTCAAAATAAACATCACAGAGGTCAATTATGATGATGATGTGAATGTTGTGGATATCTTTTTCGAAATCTATATCGAAAACGAGCAAATAATCGTCGACTGGCCAAAGACTTTGATAATGTTTGTTTTTCATAAATAAAAATACAACGAAGCACCAAATGCATGATGTAAAGAGTTTTCCATTTAAAAAAAAATTGTAAATATCAAATTGAATCCGAATGTATATCGTTTTTTTTGTGTGTTTCGTAAGGAATGAAAAAGAAGAAGAAAAAAAGAATCTTGAATAAAATATTCGAATTTCATATTTGAAAACTAAACAAAAAAAAATTGGATTGTAGAAGTAGCAGCCATATTATTACAATAATCAATTAATTAAGCAATGGAATATTATTTTATCAATTGGAATATAAAATTGATATAATATACGGTTATATGTAAAAAAAAATGATGTTGACAATGGAATTAAAGATAATTAATGTGAAAGAATGTGAGTGAGACTAGAAAATTTTCAAAAATACTTATTTTCATTTTGTACTCTCCGAAAAGAGTGAAAAGAAATAAGAAAATTTGATTTGTTATAATATAAATTGAGAAAAGTTATTTTTTTTTGGGGGGTGGTGGTGGTGGTTAAAACTTGATTGTCATCCATCATCATTTTTGATTAATCACACATGCAATCAAATTAGATTAAATTCATTATGATTAGTGTTTTTTTTGAAAATGTTGTAGCGTTTTTTTTTTGATTGTTGATATAAAAAAATTATTGATTTTCTTCAATTGATTAGTTTGTTGATGTTGTTGTTATTATTAGCATTATTTCATTTGAAAGCATTACGAAAATGAATTTTTCCATCTCTTACTTTATGTTCTTTTTTATCTTTATCTAATAATTGACGAAATTCTTTGATTTTTTTCTTCAATAATTGACGATCGCCGCTGTTGACTATTCCTAATGCCTAAATAGAAAGAAAAAAAATTTATAAAATTTTGAAAATGAAAATCATTCGATTGGTTAACAAACCTTAAGTTGAGCACTATCCAATTGTATAAATCGAACACCGGTAATATTTTGATCCTGGAAACTTTTTCCATATGAACCGAGATGAATTTGATTGAGAAATTCTACAACATCTAATACACTCCAATCAGTAACCGATAAACTATTTGGGAATGTATTCACACATGGTAATGAATTTTGTTGATGACAAGATGATAAAGTATTTGTTGCCGATGTATTTGATGTTGATGATTCATTCGGATAATAAGATGAATGTTGGCTATAATTCATATCATCAACCGATTGATTACAACCACTATAAGTATTCATTGAGATCAAATCATCATTATCGAATGTAACAGAATTTGGTGATATTAATGAACCGGATGATGATGAAATTGTTGATGTTTGTAAATTATCAATCATAGAACGTACTGGTGATGGCATTGAAGTTGTTGTTGCTGTTGATGATAATGATGGTGATAAATAACGATTATTTAATGATGATGGCATTAGTTCAGATGAAAGATTATCATGCATCAATAATGGCGATTCAATATAGTGTTGATGTTGTTGTTGTTGCTGTTGAGGAATATTATCGGAAACATTGGAATTTCTTAGACCAAATCTGGAAGCAACATTGATAGATGTTGGTGATGAATTTAAATTGGCATTTTTGGCAAGAATGGCAGCAGCTGCTTGCTGACAAATCATTTTGGCCTGTGAACGTGATGGTGATGATGATGATGATGAACATGAAGATGGATTCGAAATAAGATTCGAACATTTACCAATGGATGTAGATTCATCCATTATCGATGATTTTGGCGTTGATGTTGTTGGAAATTCTGTTTGAGCAATAGTCGATTCATTATTATCCGAAGATTCAGAATTTAAATCATTATTACTCCATGTTTTTGTCAATGATGATAGTGATGAATTTTTTTTAATTATATTCGATGAAGGTGGTTGACGGTTAGCTAAACTACCACGACTAACAAGCTCGGCTTTTTGTTTTGAATATGAAATATCCAAAAGTGATATGTTTTCACTTTGACTTATAGCTTCATTGAATGAACGATCTGCTTTCGATGTTTGATCATCGATAGAGCAACTATTTTCATCATTTTCATTCTCTGATCCAGATTCTTTATCAAATACTTTTGATTCAAATTTTTCGGCAATTTGTTGTTCCAAACGTGTAATTCTTTCCTGTAATGAATCAATCATCGATGTTGATTGTTGTTTTTCATCATCGAACACTTGTTGAAAAATTTGATCTTTTTGCAATAGATCCTGTTCACGTTGCTGTAAATCTTTGACTAGTTTTTTCATTTTTACATATTTTTTCTCCAATAAACTATATTGTTGTTTAAATTCATTGAATAGATTATTTTTCTGATCCAATTCTTTTTGTAATGTTACAATTTGTGCTTCTTTTTCTTTTGATTGAACCATTTCATCTTCTAATTGTTTTTGAAGTTCATAAATTTTTGAATCAGATTTTTGTTTAATTTTACATATTTCATCAGTTAATGATGAATATTTTAATTGCCATTCAATAATATTACGCTTTAACATATCAATATCTCTTAATGATTGTAGATGTTGTTGTTGTATATATGATACATTCATCTGATCATTCATTTGTGATGATTTATTTACCGGAATTGTTGTTGTTGTTGTTGTTGATGACTGTTGAAGATCAGTGAATTGTTGTTGTTGCTGCTGTTGTTGAATAAAATTCTCTTCAATCGGATGCATTTGTTGTTGTGATTTTGATTGTTGATGTTGTAACATTTCAAATTGTTGATCATCTTGTTCTGATTGTTCACTAATCAAATTCTGATTAATTATTTCATTATTTTCCATCATCTGATACATCATTGAATCTGGTAGAACAGAACGTTGCTGTTGTTGTTGTTGTTGGGACATCAACATCATCTGTTGTTGTTGTTGTTGTTGTTCCGATTGAATGGAACGAGATATTAGTTGAGCAATTTCACTGTTTGCTGGATCACGTTCACGTCCAATAACAAAACGTACCAGACCAGATGTTGATCGTAATACTGATGCAGCATATGATTGTGTAACACCGACCAATGATTTACCATCAACTTCAATAATCTGATCATTTGGTTGAATACTAACAAAAATAATAAGAAAAAATTTCAAATTAATAAATCAATAAAACCTAATGAAAAGAAATTAAAAAAAATACCGTCCATCACGATGAACAGGTCCACCTTCGGTGATTGTTTTGACAAAGATGCCAAGTTTTTCGATACCTGCATCAGCTCCAACTCCCATTCTATATTATAAGACGAAAATTATTTTATGAACAGAATTGAAAAAAAAACTTACCCAATTATACTGAAGCCAAGTCCTTCATCACCTTTAACAATTTCAACAGTAAATGTATCCATTTTTTCAATACGTTTTTCTAGTTCATATTCAGCCGATGCAACAACCGGATCAAATTCTTCATTACGACGATCATATTCTTCAGCCGAATAAGTCATAAAAACTTTTATCGGATCAGAACTAAAACGAACTTTACTGTTACGTTTACGTTGCGGCGTTATAATGTCACCCGTTTCCAAATCATATTGATCAGATTGTTGCTGTTGTGAATCACCAAGATATCCTTCTTCATCATCTTCATATTCATCAGGTGGTAAACCCGGTGCTTCCATATAAATTTCACCATCTTTACGACGATGGAATGGTATGTTATCGATAAATATTAATTCACTTTCTTCTTTAACTTTTTCATCATCATCATTTTCATTAATAATTTTATTATTGTCAATGAATATTGATTCTTTTTCCTGCATTGATTTGTTTTGATCAAAATCAAAATTTTTCAATTGTTGTTGATTATCAATTGTTTTTTGCTCTTTCAACAATCGTTTAGCATCTTCATCAGTAACAACACCAACATTATTTAAACATTCATCAATATTTACATCATCCGGAATGCCCGATATATCACAACTATTAAGATCTACATTGGATAATTTATCCAATGGATCGGTAATTTGTTCAACAATTTTATCAAGTAATTGATCTTGTGAACAACTTTGAATCGTTGATTTATTTGATAATAATAAATGATGTTGAATAGTTTGTTCGGATTCAGAAACTGGTGAATTTTCTTTAGTTGATGCATTACTATTGGTTGTTTGTCTTGTTGATAATAGTGGTGGTGTGGATTCCTTTTCATTCGAGATGATTTTATCATCATCATCATCATCATACTCAATATTTGGCGAATGATTATGATTAGTGATATTTTCATTCGATATTTGATGTTTAATATCTTTTGTTGATTGTTGAAATAAACTTTTAACTTGTGAAACTTTGATATTGGTCATTTCTTCCAAATGATTATTATTATGATTTTGTTGTGCGCTAGAATCATCAGCAGAAGTAACAGATGATGATGGTGATGATTTTGATAGTCGATTTGAATCGAATGAATTAAATTTTATCAATGGCTTTGATTCAACATGATGATTAGTATTTTCATTTTGATTAATTCCACCATTCATTATTGTTTTCGGTGATGTTGTTGTTGTTAAAATTGAATCAGATGATTGTAAACGTTCAAATACAGCACGTGCATTATTAAAACGTGATACACGACTTTCTGAACGTTGTAATAATGTTGGCAATGTTTTCTTTACACCATTTACAACAGGTATTGGTGGTGGTGGTGAACGTACAATCGATGAATTACGAATTGTTGTTTTTGGTAATGTTTCCGGTTTTGATTTATAATCTTTATTATTATTATTCCATAATGAACCATTTGTTGTTACCGGTAATTGATTACCATTATGTTTACCAAAATTATCATCATCAAAACGTGTTTTTCTTTTATCCAAATTACTATTTGTATTAACAATGATGGCTGTTTTTTTGATCATTGGATGCGTTGTTGTTGTTGTCATGGTCGGTGTGGTTGTTGTCGATGTTGATGATGATAATTTAGTTGATCCATTTGTTAAATTACTATTTAGTTTAATATTGGAACCCGTATCGATTATTGTTTTATGATTATCATTATTATTATTATTATTATCATTGAGCATACGATTTTTAATCAATTTAATATTATTATTAATCATTTGGCCATTTGTTTTTGAATGATTATGATTTTGATCTAAATTTGTTAGATTTGGCATACTATCTCGTTTCATTGATATTGTAGTCGTCGTTGATGATGTTGATGATGATGATGATGTTGCTGTTGCTGTTGTCGATGGTGATGATGATGCGGTAGATGAATTAACCGAAATTAAACTATTTGATTTTCGTTGTTGATGTAATTTACCATTCAACAAAGATGTTGTTGTCGATATTGTTGATGATGATAAATTTGTTTCCGATGATGGTGGTGATAATGATTGAAATAGATTAGCTATTTGGCTTACTTTGGTACCAAGTTTACGACCAGCACTATTTGATGATGTTGATGTTGGTACTGAATGGCTACGATTAAATGTTTTACCACCACTAACACCATTCGTTGATCCGTTTGTTTGTGGATGATGTTGATGATCACCATGAATAACATTTTTGGCAGCAGCAGCAGATGATTCGAACGTTAGTTTTAATGAATTAAGCTTACCATGGGTGGTTGACGATAAATTTGAAGTTGTTGATGACGACATGGCAACATTCTCAATGGCACAAGTTTGGCTATTATTATTATTATTTTTGCCAATACTGTTGATTGTCGATTGATTATTATTATTATTATTATTGTTATTTGCCGCTCTATTTATTGAATCTTTCCAATAACCGGTTGTTGTTGATGTTGCTGTTCGTGATCGACTAGCTGCCAATATTTCAGCTCGAACATTGGCCATAATAATAATAATTATTCTTTTGTTGTTTCAAAACAAAACAAAAAAACGATTCGGTTTGCAAAAAAAGGCAAAAAAAAATTCAGGCTTTCTTTTGAGCTTATTATTCGGTATGATAATATGGCAATAATCATTGAATATCAGGTAAGATGAACATTTTAAATTTGAAATTCACAAACACACACAGGACACAAAGGATAAAAAAGATGGTCACATGTTTTGCTGGAAAAAATATCATTGACTTTTTCATTCTTCAAATGATTAGCGATGATAATTTTCATTTTCTTCACCAAAAATAGCGACACTAAAAATATCAAAAAAGTTTTCGGAAAAAATGAAACAAAAACAGAAAAAAAATAATTATAATAATCAGATAAGATAATGAACAACAACAAAAAGAAAATTTTTCTGAATTAGCCAAAACAAAGAACAAAATACTGGATGATTTAAAAATGACGCTAAAAATTACGATAAAGTCAGGAGAGAGAAAAATGTTTTTGGGTTTTTTGGTGATGATGATTTTGTTGCTAATAACTGATTCATTTTTTACGAAAAAAATCAATCAATAATCAATGAACAAAAACACAATGTTTTTGTTGAATGTTTTTTTTTGTTTTTGGCATCGATGTTAATGAATAATTAGCCTAGATTGAAATTTATAAAAACAAAACAAGCAAAATTTACAAAGGTATCCTATTTTTTTTCGTTTGTTTTGCTGAAAATCAACAAAATTAGATTTTTTTTGTCAACAGCAACCAAAAAAACATCAAACAAACATCAACAATGAGTGAATGTATGGAATCCACATTCAATTTTAAATGGAAAATCCAAACCAAAACCAAACCAAAAAACACTATCAACAAAATCATGATGATCCTCTATATGGCATTTGTGTTTGTGTGTGTGTATGTAAACAATGTAATCAATTGGTCGTTGGTGGTAATTTTTGATTATGATTATAATGATGATGATGANATCAGGTAAGATGAACATTTTAAATTTGAAATTCACAAACACACACAGGACACAAAGGATAAAAAAGATGGTCACATGTTTGGCTGGAAAAAATATTTGACTTTTTAATTCTTCAAATAATTAGCGATGATAATTTTCATTTTCTTCACCAAAAATAGCCACACTAAAAATATCAACAAAAACAAAAAATAATTATTATTATTATAATCAGATAAGATTAAATAATGAACAAAAACAAAAAGAAAATGTTTCTCAATTAGCCAAAAACACAACAGAAAAACAAAATACTGGATGATTTAAAAATGACGCTAAAAATTACGATAAAGTCAGCGAACAGGAGAGAGAGAGAAAAATGTTTTTGGGTTTTTTGGTGATGATGATTTTGTTGCTAACAACTGATTCATTTTTTACGACAAAATCAATCAATATTCAATGAACAAAAAACACAATGTTTTTGTTGAATGTTTTTTTGTTTTTTTTCGGCATCGATGTTAATGAATAATTAGCCTAGATTTAAATTTAGATGAAAAACAAAACAAAAGCAAAATTTACAAAGGTATCCTATTTTTTTTCGTTTTTTGTTTGTTGAAAATCAACAAAATTAGATTTTTTGTCAACAGCAACCAGAAAAACATCAAACAAACATCAACAATGAGTGAATGTATGGAATCCACATTCAATTTTAAATGGAAATCCAAACTAAAACCAAACCAAAAAACACTATCAACAAAATCATGATGATCCTCTATATGGCATTTGTGTTTGTGTGTGTGTATGTAAACAATGTAATCAATTGGTCGTTGGTGGTAATTTTTGATTATGATTATAATGATGATGATGATGGAAAAAGTGAAACATAGGATACAACAATTGTCATCAACAACAAAAATTTTTTTTTGACGATGATGACAATGACACTGTCAATGATATTTTTGTTTCAAATGTTTAAAATATTGAAACAAAAAAATGATGCAAGGCAAAACTAATGTAATTTTCCCTCTTCTTTTTATGTATGGATCATTACTATTTAACGCGTTCGCTACCAGCGACGCATATATGCGTCGTTTATTTGCTGTAGTTCTATGTGTTTTTCGAAATCTCCGGTAGCGAACGCGTTAAATTATATAATAAAAGACTGATCGATCAATCGATCGATCAAAACAATCGATTGCTGTTTGTTTTTTTTTTTGGATTACCAAGGTAACCGGCAACAGTTTTATCATTTGTGGAACGACTTTTTACAAACATTGACCGATTATATCAATAAAAAAAAAGAAACATTTTTTTTAATCATTGTTTCTGTTATCAATTGTAATTAGTATAATAAAAAAAAATACAAAATGGAAATAAGATTTCAAGTGATATCACTTTTTTTTTCTCTCTGATTTTGATTGATTGATCGATGGTTTCCACCAAAAAAGAAAAACAACAACAACAAATTTGTCAATGAAAAAAAAACAAACAAAAACAAAACAAAGAATCGAAAAATTGATTCTTTTTCTTGTTTTCATTGTTACATTTATTTTACATTCAGAAATATATATTATATCCTGAAGAAAAAAGAAAAAATTTAAAGCAAAGACAGGAAATCTATCCAGTTTTAAAGTTTTTTTTTTTAAACAAAATTATCAGATTGAAAAGTAAGAGAAAGAAAAAACTAGTCAGTCAGCCATTCTTACTATAGAAAAAAAACCACAACAGTATTACACTGTCTGAAAGTTAGATAAGGTCAAAAGCAAAACCAGAATGCTCAATCAATGAATGAATGTATAAAGAAAACATCATGGTTTTAGATTTTGGAATGAGAAACAACTGTTGTTGTTGATGATGTTGGACATCAGTTGATCAAATGTCAGGTTTTTTTTCTCATCGTTGCTGTTCTGGTTGGCTTTTATATAAAGACAAGCTGTGACCACCTTGTTGTTGTTGTTATTGTAGGCCACCAACATCAGTATTATCATCATCATCAAAGTTATGTTTAGACATTGAAACATCATCATCATCATCATCAACAGCAATTGGACATTTGTAGATCAAATCACAATCGATGATGATGATGATGATAAATTACAATCAAGATTAACAACAACAACAACGGGAAACAAAACAAAAAACAATCGAAATTTAAATTCATTCAAAAAGTAGAACGAAATAATCGATATTTTGAAATGTTCGATTGTTTTTTTTTTCGTCTGTGTGACATTCGATTCCGATTGATCATCATCATCAATGGAGAAAAATGTAACAAAATAACGAGGAAAAAAGTCTAGAGAAAATGTTGAACTCAAACATTTTATCCAAAAATAATTGGCCTAATCTGGTCAACAAAAAAAAAATAATTTTGATAAAAATAAATAAAGTCAAACAAAGTGATAAATATAACGGAGACAGAGAGAGCAACGGTCCCCGTTGATAATGATGATGAAAATGGTCGAAAACAATGAAAAAATTGAAGAGAAAATTTATGATAATCGCCACACATAGCGAGATAATTGTGTGAAATGTGAACAAAAGATGTTTTTTTTTGTTGATGTTGATGTTCTTCTTTATCCATCATCATCATCATTTGAATTGATAATTTTTTGTTTCAAAGAGTAAAACCAAAGTCAAATTTGATGAAAAATAATAAAAAAAATGATTTAATCATACCTGTAAACAAAAATAAAAACCGTTCGCTATCTTGCATTTATCACACACAAACTAAATGTTTTTTTTTAAAAAGATAAATCTTTTTTTCTTCTTATCAACATTTTGATATCATCATCATCATCATACACCTATCCTATCCATGTTTATCTATGTCGTTTAATTTTTTCTCTAAAAAAACATTTCAATGTTATGTAAAAAACGAAAAAAAATCCAAAAATACATCTGTATATATAGCATTTGTTTTTTCAATCACAAATGTTATGAATTTTTCATCATCATCATCATTATTATTATTGAAATTTCAAATCAAATTGAAAAGAATTTCAACTAATGATCGCTAAAACGAAAAACAAAACAAAAATTGATTTTTTTGTGAATAAAAAGGATATATCCTAACCACGAAAAAAAAGTTGATTTTTCAAAAATGGAAAATGTTTTTAAAACAAAATTTCAAAAACTTACCCAAAATTGAATATTGAAAAAACTGCTGATGATGATGTTTGATTGGTTGATGATTTGTTTATAAAGAAATTTGATTCCAAAATGGAAATTTGATAAATCAAAAGAGAAAAAACGGTTGTTTTTTTGATGGTTTTTGATGCGGATTATGTGAAACTCATCATTTTTCTTTTCGAATCGATTGAATGATCCAATTGGATCATCATCGTCTTTATAAAAAACAAACAAAGGTCGTCACCAAACACACACACACACAATAGCTGGAGACACAAAAATAATTCTTGCTTAGGTTTTTGTTGTTGTTGTCGAGAGAAGAAGATAACTCTTTTTCATTTTGATTGAAATGAAATTCAATCGATTTCATTGAATAACAAAAACAGAAGAAACGAAAAACCAGCTAGAAGCCCATCATGATGAACTTGTTTGTTGAATTTTTCATGATGATGAAGATCGGTCGGTTGGTTGGTTGGATGGTCGATTGCAAAAGAAGAAGAATATTTATTCAGTTTAAAATGATGGTCTGTTGTGGTCAACAACCATTGATCATCATCGTCGGGGAGCCGAAAATGAATGAACCGAAGGAGATACTAGGAAAAGCTCATCTTTGAAATGAGCCAAAATAATAAAAACACCAAACAAACAAAACAAAAAAAACCAGGCGAGCAAAAATGAATGAATGGAAGAGAATGAGAGAAACAGAAAGGTTCGAGGTGCGGTCAACAACACCGTCGTCGTCGTCGTAGTCGATTATTCGTGGGTTGTTATTATGCTCGAGAAAAAGGCCAACCAACCAACTGATGGACTTGTTTTTCTATATGCTGCTTCTGCTGCTGTATACATATATGTTTGCGTGTTCAGAAGACAAAAAAAAAGAAGAAAAAGAAGAAAAAAGATGTGCATAGATTCGGGAATATCCGATTATATATTTTATTACATTACCCGATGATGTGTTGGTTGGTTGGTTGATGATTTTTTCTTTCTTTGGTTCGCTGGATGTTTCGGTATAAATTTCATTTTCGGGATAATTGGACTGGTGTGAAGAAAAAATCCACCCCTGTTTTTTTTCGGGGTTTCAAAATGATGAACCTGTCGATTATCATTCGGTTTCGGTTCGGTTCGATTCCAGATGATTATGCTGCTAGCATGCAGACGAAATCATTTTTGTTTTGGTTTGTTTTGTTTTGTTTTTCAGTTCCATGTTGAATGGAAGAATTGGAAAAGAATTGGGCGAAAAAATGAAACAACAAAAATAAAATTTGGATGATTGATTTGAAAGAATTTTACGAAAAAAAAAAGAATATTCTTCGATTATCGATTCTGTTCGATTAATCGAACGTGATGTACGACTAGATAATTTTTTTTCTTTTAATTGTCGGCAAACAATCGATTGTCATCGATACTTTGAAACAAACATTCGAATTTATTTTTGGAATGTTCGAAATGAAACCAAAAATTTTTTTTTTGTCAATTCTTTCTGCAATATAATTTATTGATTTGATGATTTCAGATCAACAAAACAAAAAAATGTATCAAACAACCAACCTACCGAATTAACTTGAAAAAGTAAAATCTTTATTCTGATGATCTGAAGAAAACGACGAAGAAGAAGAAGAAACTAAAAATAAACATCAAAAAAAAATGACGATTCTCTGTCGACTGACTAATAGTAAGCATCTGTTCAACCAAAGTAATATTTCACCATTTGAAGAAAAAAAAACAGAATTTTTGTTTACCACACGGTGTGTGTGTTTTTGTAAAACATTCATCATTATTTTGTTGTTTTTTGATAAAGATGTATCATGGATACGGATTTATTATTGTGTTTTGATTACCACACACAAGTAAAACACAAACGAACTTGAACTAAATTACTTGATGATCATCATCGTCGTCATCGTCATCATCATTTTAATCATCATCATCATAATCACCATGCAATGTTGATGATAATAATAATGGTAAATTGAAGAGAGAGAGAGAGAAATTTTCATCATTTTTTCTCTGTTCTCTTCTCTCTCTCTCGTGAAACACACACTCGCATCATTATTTTCCGCTTTATGACATCGTCGAAAGATTAATTATATGATTTTGAACTCAATAATAAAGAATTTTTTTTTGGTTGATAAAAATAGAATCATAATTTTATCATCAGAAAGAAAAATTCTTTTGTTTTTTCATTTCATTTCAAGCTGTTCGTTCGTTCATCATTATTATTATCATCATCAAAACACAATGTTCATCAAAAATAAAAATAAAATGAATTAGATCGAAATGAATGAAAAAGAAAAAGAAAAACACATAATCACATCGAAGATTGGCCAATAAATTTTCAATTTCTTTCTTTCAATGACTTAAAATCCTTGCAAAGCAATCAGACAGACAGAAAAAGAAAAAGCAAATAAGAATCGAATAACAACTTTTTATTACGTAATGTTATTATTATAAGATTCAGACTTTTCTCTTCCTCTTTTTTCATCTTGTAAAGAAGAAGAAAATAATCAAAGAGAAAAAAAAAATGTTAATCAAATAATACAACATCAACAAATGAAATGTGAAACTTGAAATGAAATTTGTTGAATAATATTGTTGTTGTTGTTGATGTTGAAAAAATAGGAATCACTTTAGATTGGTCAAATCAAATTAACATTTTGGATTTGATTTAAACAGAGTCAAAAAAAATCCTTCAATTTTTTTTTCCTTTGTCAAATTTTTTGATCAAATTTCCAAAAATCAAATCCAAATTCGAATGTTTTGAGGAAAAACAATAACGCCATCTATTGAACGATGATGATAATTTTTTAATTGGATTTTAAACGAATCAAATCCATTAAATGTTGATTATGAAATTGTTGACAAATATCGAAAACAGTACGATCATTTATATCTTTTTGATCAATTCGACTACCAAATTGGATTAATAATTCGATGGATTCTCGATGACCTTCACGAATGGCTAAAAATAATGGTGTTTGATGCCAATGATCACAATGATTAATCAATGATGATGATGATGACAGCAATGATGGATAATTATCATAAAGAAATTGTATTGTTTTCAATGCATTTGATTGTGCACAATGATGTAATAGATTTCGTTGACAATTATCTAAATGTTTCAAACATTTTGAACCGATTATTGTAAGTATTTTCTGTAAAATATCTAAACAATCAATACGTGCTGCATCCATTAATGGTGTAATGCCACAATTATCAACCGAATTTATTAATTCTTGATGATCAGATTCAATAAGACGTGCGGTTAGAAATTCAAATACCATGGAATGTCCATTAATAGCTGCAATATGCATAAGATTACGACCATTATTAACTGGTTCAGGCCACCAATTTGATGGTTTTTGTTCGAATAATAATTGAATTAATTGTAAATTACCGGTACGTATAGCCAAATGATAACAAGTCCAACCATCTTTATTTCTAATACAATCATCAGCATGATAATCTAATAATAATAATTTTATTAATTGAATATTTTGTTTAATTACAGCAATCATTAATGATGTCCAATCACCACGTTTAAATTCATTTATAATTTGATTATTTGGATCATTATTATTTTCAAGAAAAATTCTTGCAATCCGTATCGAACCAAATGTACATGCAGTATGTAATGGTGTTTTACCTTCCGAATCACGTTTCAATAACCAAGGAATAGTATTGGTGGTGGTGGTGGTGTTGGTGGTGGATGATGATAATAAATATTGACCAATTCGATATGAATCATATTGTGCACAAAGATGTATTAATGATGAACCATATTTTTGTTGTACAATTTGATTTAATGATAATAAATTTTCGGCATTTAGTTCAAACCAATCTAAATTATCTGTACGAATATGATTTAATAATTTATTTGTTTTTGTATTCATCATTGAATAAAAAAAACGAAGAAGAAAATCTAAAAACACACACATGTTTGACTATTTCGATCCACATAGGTCGAAGTTTTGTTTTTGTTTTTTTGAAAATTTCAAAACACGCGCGCGTTTCAACAAGTCAAGAATGTTTTGCAGCACACAAAACAAAATTAGAACAAAACAAGGAAAAAGAAAGTCGGAGTTGAGAAAAAAAAATTAACAAAAATCACGAATATGACAAAGAACATATTCGGTTAAAAGAATTTTTGTTTTCTGAATTCTTTCCAAAAAAAAAGGGGGCAGACAAAGTTATTTTTGATGTGTGTTTGTCGAATGTGCATGCTCAGTGATTTAAACTTTGCAATCTTTGATGAAGACGACGAAGAAGAATATTCTTTCGTTGATGATGAAGATGGTCTGATCTTCATTTGCAAATTAACACGAATCTCGAATGGTAACCGTGTGTGCGTGTGTGTTTAGCTGGTTGGTTACATCGACAAAATTAGAACATCGAAAATTCATCAAAAAAAAAACATCGGGCAAAAAAAGATAAATGTTGTGCCCGTTGTTTGTTATGATAATAATGATGATGATGGTGAAATAATTATCATTAACAACAACAACAATGAACCATCGTAAACGAAAATACGAACCAACCTGATCGAAACATCGATTTTTTGATTTTATTTTATTCGATTCGATTCGATTAAGGTTTTTCATTCAAATTTCCGAACAACGACTATCGAAAATTTTTTTTGTTTTTGTTTTGTTTTGCTTTGTTTTTTTTCTGTTTTGAACGAGACAAAAATTTTAAAAAATTTCAACAAAAAAACATTTTTCATTCACTTACGAAATTCTTTATTCTTTCTGTTTTATTCATTCATATTTCTTCTTTTTTGTTTTGTTTTGTTTTGCTTCATTCATTCATTATTCGTTTTGTTTTTTTTTTGTTTCAACTAACCTGACTAAAATTTCACCAAAAATTTCATCAACAAAAAAACAAACTTAAAAATAACATCTAATAATTCATCATGGATACCCAACAACAACAACAACAACAACAACAAGAAACGTAAGTTTTAAACAAAAACAAAATTCAAAATCGAAAATATCACGCAATTTCGAGGTTTTTTCAAAATCCAACACAGAATTCGAACGTTTTGTACGTTCGAATTTCGAATTCCATTCGAAATCTATTTCGACAACACCGGTACTACCCATCCATCAATCAGAATGTTTTTCTAGAATTTTTCATTTTGAAAAACTTTGAAATTCTGAAAAATGAAAAAAACATTTTCGGCGTTTTCTATATCCGATTGGATTTTATTTATAAACGATAAATCCAATAAAAAACGAAAACAAGACAATGATGAAATGCAATGAAAACAGAAAAATTCAACCCATTAACACAGTTAAATCATCATCAACATTGTCGAAAAGAATTTCGAATGTTGTTGTTGATGATGATACGAACTTCAAAAAACAGAATTTTCTAATTATAGAATCGATTCTTTGCCTGCGTTTTTCACTCACTCACTATATGTCTATCATAGAATTTTTGATGCGGATGAATTTTATTTTTTTTCGAGTGAAAAGAATTGCGTATCTTCTTTAGCTCACTTCGTCAACATTCTTAATTTAGGAAATGAGCAAAAGAATGGAAAAAAACTCATTTTTATGGTAGTGGTGATGTTTGAATGATTTTCGGTGTTTAGGCTGTCTTCGTCTTCGTTGTTGTTGATCAAAATCATGATGATCTAAATGGTGATGGCAATGAGAAATTTATGATAGCTGAATATTTTTGCTTTTTTAAAATACCGATTTTTTTGAAAAAAAAAAGTATTGCAACAAAGTAATAGTGGATTCAAGAATTTTTTTTTTTTTGAAAAATCAATAAAAAAGGATTATTTTGTTTTTTTTCATAATGGTTAACCTAACCTCACTGAACTATAAAAAACAGGCACAGGCACAGTCATAGTCATCAACCTAACCTCACTGAACTATGTGTCACAGGCATAGTCATAGTCATCAACCTAACCTCACTGAACTATGTGTCACAGTCACATTCATAGTCATAGTCATTAACCTAACCTCACTGAACTATGTGTCACAGTCATAGTCATAGTCATCAACCTAACCTCACTGAACTATGAATAACAGTCATAATCGACTAAAGTCAAAATAGCCAAAAATGTATTTTTTTCAACAGAAAAAGAACAACAATTAAAAGGTAGAAATAGTTAACAATGACGGAAGGAAGAACTATGGAAAACCAAAAATCATTGAAAAAACAAACAAATCCAGACAATATTTAATTGATTGATTGATTTCTTTTTTTTCTTTTAAATCTAATTTCACAAATCAAAAATCCAAAAAACAATCAAATCCAGACAATATTTAGCACCAACATTTGAACGACCACCAGAAATTGAAAATATTCATGAAGGTGATGATGTATTATTACGTTGTAAAATAAGTGCACAACCATCACCAACAGTACGTTGGGTTAGAAATGGTTATATGTTAACACATACTAACAAGTAAGTTTTCGGGGGGAAATTTTTCAGAAAAAAAAATTACGGAAAGTTTCTTGAAATTTTAAAACTTTTGTAATTTTTTGTAATTCAACAGATATCAAATAATAAATAATCCACAAACCGGTTATCATTCATTAATAATAAAAAATTTTCATGAATCAGATGATGGTGAATATGTTTGTATTGCAAGTAATTTGGCAGGTGAATCATCAATAATTGCCGTTATCAAGAAAGGTAATGGCAATCAAACAACCGATCAACAACAACAACCAACAATTGAATTGGAAACAAAAAAATTTGATTCATTCAAAGAATTACATGATTATCAATTGAATCGTCTAACACAACAACAACAGCGATTTGATTGTGAAAAATTTGAAATTGATTTGATAAAAAATGATCAATTTCGCCGGGAAAAATGTAAACAATTCACGTTGGATGAACGATTCAATCGATTAAATCGATTTGCTGATCAATATTCATCATCCGAAAAAGAAAAGGGTGATTCAGCACCTGAAATCATTGAAAAACCAAAAGATATTGTTTGTAAGGAAAATGATGATCTTATATTTGATATCCGGGTGGCTGGTAATCCAATACCGAAAATTTATTGGTTTAAAAATGGACAACCAATCAAGCAAATGGAAAATAAATGTCAAATTAGTTATGAAAATAATTTGGTAAGGTTACATTTGAAAAATCTGCTGAATGAAGATGCAGGTAGTTATACAATATTGGCTGAAAATAAATTCGGTTCAGCAACTTTCTCGATAAATTTAAATGTACATTACATTATTGAGGATGTACAAAACGTTAAATCAAAACCAATGTCGAAAACAATCGATGGTTCCGGTACGGCTATTTCTACTCAGCAACAAACAACGATGACGACCATTTCAACACAACAACAACGATCAACTACATCAAGAAGAAGGTTTGTGATTTGTGTGTGTAAATAGTGGATACTGATTCTTTTTTTAAACATATAGTGCGGATAAAGATGAACAATTACCGACCGTTTCGGGTATACGTCCAAATTTTTATCTTATACCATATGATATGGAAGCAATGGAAAATCAAATCGTACGATTTGAATTACGTGTTAGTGGTCGTCCGGAACCAGAAATATTATGGTTTAAAGATGATCAAAAACAAATATTTGATTGTGAACATTTTAAATTGGTTGTAAATGAAGAAGGTAGTCATGCATTATTAATAATGGGTGCTGATCCAGAAGATTCTGGTGTTTATAAATGTATTGCACGTAATCAGAATGGACAATCATCATTTACCGTACGGTTATTAGTATTGGAAAAAGAACCAACCGTATCACCGAAATTTGTAGAAAGATTTCAAAATACAACAATAAAATCCGGTGAATCGATTGTATTTTATTGTCGTGCTGTCGGAACACCACCGCCACAATTAACATGGCAAAAAGATGGTATACAAATTGATCCGAATCCACCAGCGATTGAAATTCATACTGATCAATGTTCATCAACACTTTATTTGAATAATGTACATGTAAGAGATTCTGGTTGGTATCAATGTACTGCACAGAATCCAGGTGGAACTGTTGCTACACGTGCCCGTTTGAATGTTGAATCGGATCAGAAATCCTTACAACAACAAGGTGAACCATTGAAATTAAATATACCGAAAACACATCGTAGAATTGAATTGGAATCTGGACAACAATCCGAAACAATTATCTTACGTCATGTACAACGTTATTATGAAGAAATTCCACCTGAACAACGAGATTTTATTACATATGAAGAACATAAAACTAAACCAATATTTGCAACACATTTACATGATTTATTTCTACGTAAAGGTATGACTGGTCATTTTGAAGCATATCTGAAAGCATCTGATTATACAAATATGAAAATTGAATGGTATTTGAATGATAAATTGCTAGAAAACAATGAAAGATTTATAATTACGGATAAATATGGTTATATTGCATTGACAATATTGAATGTACAACCAGAAGATTCTGGGATTTTAACATGTAAAGTATCAAATCAATATGGTGATGCACAAACATCGGCTACATTGAAATGTGCTGATGTTCCGCCGCAGAAGCAGGCGCAACGATCGCAGCCGCAAACACAACCGCAATCAACAAAGAAGCAAGAATCGCCAAAAGAAGTACAAAAAGATGTTGAAAAAAAGAAGAAAGAAGAAGAAGAATATAGACAAAAATATGAACAAATTGAAGATTCAGAATATTATAGTTATCAAAAAGAAATTGAAGAATCATACCGAAAAATTGCACCACATTTTATACAACCATTACAATCATCGATTATAACAACTGAAGGTGCTACAATACTATTAGAAGCACAAATAACACCTGTAAATGATCCAAATATGCGTATAGAATGGTTCGTAAATGGACAACCATTACATAATAATGAAAGAATAAATTCAAAATTTAATTTTGGTTATATTTCATTATCGATTATTGATTTAAAACAATCGGATAATGGTGTTTATATGGTTAAAGCGATTAATGGTGTTAATGAAGCTATTTCAACATCATCCATACATGTTAATCCAGGTAAGTTTTGTTTTTTTAATGAAATTTTTCTCTGATAAAACTTTCAAATTTTACCCCCCAATCAAACAGTTCAACCACCACCGATGATCACGAAAAAACATCCACCACCCGAAGAATTGGAAGAATTGAAACAAACAATCCAGGAAACATCGACAACGACAACCGCAACAACAAGTAAAATTCGTAAACATACCCGAGAGGAAAATGTTTATAGTCCAACAGCACAACAACAACAACAACAAATTTATCAACAACAACAACAACGACGACCATATTTTAAAAAACATTTTCAAAATTTAATTGAAACATTTTCCGGACCGGAACAAACTATACGTTTTGAAGCATTGATTGAACCGAATGATGATCCAAATTTAGAAATTTATCTGTTAAAAAATGAACAAATAATTAAACCAGAAACAAGAATACAAATTCTTTATAATCGTGGTTTATTATCAATTTGTATAACGGATTTAACCATACAAGATTCGGGTGTTTATAAATGTTTACTAAAAAATTCATTAGGACAAGCTGAAACGATTGGCGAACTAAGGGTTAAAGAACCGATCCGGATGGATGATCAATTTGTTGAATATCAACAGCAGCAAGTTAGAAAGGAATTATTCGCAGCAACAAAACCAGAACTAGAACAACCAGGACAATTTCAACAATCACCACCGATTCAAACCAGACAACCACCAATAAAATCAGTAGCCGTTCCTAAAATTACAGGTGTCGGTGGCATGGCACCAATATTTCGTATACCATTACAAATACCACCATTAATGTATAGTGAAGGTGAAAATATTTATATGGAAGCATTTATTGAACCGGTTAATGATCCTAATTTAAAAATTGAATGGTATCATAATACAATACCGATAATATTCACAGAAAGATATCATACAAAATTTGATTTTGGTTGTATATCGATGATGATTGAATCGGTTAATCTTGGTGATGGTGGTGAATATACATGTATTGTACGTAATCATTATGGTCAGGCAGTCTCGACGGCAAATGTATCGATTGTACGTATACCCGGTATGATGGAACAGCAACCACCGATTCCAGCGCCACCACCAAGGCCAAAATTACCTGTTCAAATTACACCTGTGGCACCACCACCACCACCACCACCGCAACAATCATATTTAGATGAAAGTTATCGTAGGCAAACTAAACAAGAATGGTTTGATACAACAACTACGACAACAACGATGGATCATCAAATTGTACCACAAAGAGCATATTATCAGGAAATTCATCTACCACAAACAACAACAACAACAAAATCAACAACAACAACAACAACACGAGAAATATATCCAAAACCACGTTTTGTAACAAAATTTAATAATGTAACCATTGCTGAAGGTAAAACTGCTTGTATTGAAAGTCGAGTGGAACCGGCATTAGATCCAAATCTAATAATTGATTGGTTTTTTAATGGTAAACCATTAACAGTTGGTAATCGTTTTCAACCATATTATCATTTTGGTTATGTTGTATTGAAAATTTTGAAAACACAACCAAATGATTCAGGTGAATATACATGTCGTATATCAAATGAATCTGGTTTTGATGAAATGACAACCAGGATTATTTGTTATGAAGAAAATCTTGATACGGATATTCAACAATTTCATGAACCTTTGGTAACAAAATCTTCGAAACATCGTGTCATTGATGAACAGATTGAATCAACAAATCAACAAGCACCACGTATAAAATCCGGAATGTTAAAAGATATACAAACAATTGAAGGACAGAAAATACATCTGGAATGTTATATACAACCAGCTGATGATCCTGATTTGATTGTTGAATGGTTGAAAGATGGTCAACCATTACGAAAAGGTTCAAGATTTATTGAAATATGTGATTTTGGTTATGTTTGTTTGGATATACTTTCGGTTTATCCTGAAGATAGTGGTAGATATGAATTAAAATTATCAAATAAATATGGTGAAACATCAACATCATGTTTGATTTATTGTCAACCAACTTCGAATCTGGATACAAGATCATTGAATGAAATTAGTATGGAAAGCATTCGGCGTTTGGAAAAACGTCAACAACAACGTTTTGAACAAGAACCTCGTATAACTGAACGACCAAAATTTTTACAACCATTAAAATCATCATATGATTGTATTGAAAATGAACGTGTTCATTTCGAAACACGTTTAATACCGATTGGTGATGAAACAATGATTGTTGAATGGTATCAAAATGGTCAACCATTACAATCATCATCAAGAATATCATTTATAAATGATTTTGGTTATATATCATTAGATATTAAAGAATTAACCCCATATGATTCAGGTATATATGAATGTCGTGCACGTAATTCGAATGGTCAGGATTCAATTCAAACAATATTATCGGTACGAGCTACGAAAACCATTATTAATGATACAATACATCCTGGTACAGTGGAAAAATTCTCATCGCTAGAAACGAAAACATTTAAACGTAAAGAATTTGATGATGATATGTCAGGACAAACACGGCCTTATTTTGTACAACCGCTTAAAGGTACACGAATTATTGAAGAAGGAATGTCTGCACATTTTCAATGTATCATTGAACCAATACGTGATGAAACAATGATATTTGAATGGTTTCATAATGGTCGACCAATGCCAATTGGTAATCGTTATCATACAATGTTTGATTTTGGTTTTATAACATTAGATATAATGAAAATAACCGTAGAAGATTCAGGTGAATATCGATTACGTGTATCGAATCATCTTGGTCAAATTGAAGATTCTATTCAGCTAAATGTTATCAGCCATGATAATATACAAATGAAAAGTCAACAACCAACTAGTTTGGAAAAAATACAACAACTTGAACGACAACGATCAAACAAGAAAAAGAAAAAAATTGAAGATGATTATGTTATAATTGAACAACCAAAATTTGGACAAAAATTACCCGAACAAATTGAATTGATTGAAGGACAACCACTGTATTTGGAAACAACATTATTACCAATAAATGATTCTACAATGAAAATTGATTGGTATTTTAATGGTGATCTATTAAAAATTGGACATCGTTTTCGTACATTGAATGATTTTGGTTATGTTTCCCTGCAAATTCTATATGCTTATCCTGAAGATAGTGGCCGTTATGAATGTCGTGCACAAAATGATTTCGGTGAAGATCAAATCCAATGTAATGTTATGGTTACAAGTAGAAAAATTATCGATACATCAACTATACATGATGAATCATTGGCTAGAATTCAACAAATTGAACGTTATCATCATCATCATGTTAGACGTGATGAAATTCAATCTGAACAAACATCAACAATCAAACCGAAAATTATACGTCCATTAAATTCAACATATGAATTGAATGAAGGTGATTCAATTTGTTTAGAATTGACTGTTGAACCTGTAAATGATTCAACAATGTTAGTTGAATGGTCACATAATGGTATACCGATTCGTATTGGACATCGTTTTGTTGTTATTAATGAATTTGGTTATATCGCTCTAAGGATTCTGTATGTTTATCCAGAAGATTCTGGTACATATACTGTAAGAATTTCAAATGCAATTGGTGAACAGATTTCATCAACAAACATTCGGGTTACGGAAAAACAAAATATTATCTATGATACGATTCACCCGGAAGGATTAGAACAAATACAGCACTTAGAAAAACGAATTAAACCAAAACTTTCTGGTGATCTTGATCAGCCAACATCACCACCACATTTTGTAACCAGATTACGTGGTCCAACCAAACTGGTTGAAGGTGATCATTGTCATTTTGAATGTCAAATTGAACCAATTAATGATCCAAATATGATTGTTGAAATATTGCATAATGAACAACCATTAAAAATTGGTTCACGTTATCGAACCATTTGTGAATTTGGTTATATAGCATTAGATATATTATCAGTTAACCCTGACGATAGTGGCAGGTATAAATTTCTGATTTCAAATCATTATGGTAAAATTGAAGATGAAAAATTCTTACAAATTCAATCAATAAAATCAATACAAACGGATACAATGTATGAAGAAACAATGAAAAAATTGAACGTTTTGGAACAAGGACATCGTCCACCTGCAACAATGCATGATGAAGAAAAAACCCACCAAAAACCAATATTCACACAACCATTACATAATATTTATAACATTCGTGAAGGAACAAATGCACATTTAGAATGTCGCCTAATACCGGTGAATGATCCATCAATGAAAATTGAATGGTATAAAAATGGTCAACCATTACCAAGTAGTTCACGTTATAATTTTATAAATGATTTTGGTTATATATCATTGGATATACATAAAATTGAATCGAAAGATTCAGGTATTTATACGGTAAATGCAAAAAATGAATTAGGTGAAACATGTACATTGTGTACATTGGAAGTACCGGAAGAAAAATCTATCATAACCGATACAACAAATATTGAATCATTGAAAACTATTCAATATCTGGAGCGAACTGGTAGAACATCCACAATGAGAATGGACGAACAACAACGAACAGAACGACCAAATTTTTTCGTACCGATTCGTGGTCCAAACATTGTGAATGAAAATGATCGTGTTTGTTTGGAATGTCAAATAACACCGATTGGTGATCAAACAATGACATATAAATGGTATAAAAATGGCCAAGAATTACAACCAAGTTCACGTATTGCAACATCGAATGATTTTGGTTATGTTTTCCTGGAAATTGCTGCTGCAAATGGTGATGATAGTGGTATTTATATGCTGAAAGTAGCTAATAACCAAGGTGAAGCAATTTCATCACATCAATTACGTGTTAATCAATTTCCAACCATTGATACACAATGTCAACATCCAAAAACATTTGAACAAATACGTTTGATTGAAAATCAAAAATTCAAACGTTCAATTCCAAAGCAGCCATCGACGATGGCCGGTGAACCACCAAAATTCACCAAACACTTAAACAGTGTTGATAATGCAAATGAAGGTGATTATTTACGATTGGAAACTAGTGTTGAACCAAAAATGGATGAAAAACTATCGATTGAATGGTATAAAAATGGCCGTTTATTAACACTTGGTTCCCGAATAACATCCAGTTTTGATTTTGGTTTAGTACAATTAGAAATTCGTGATGCTAAATATGAAGATAATGGTGTTTATACTTGTCGTGCTGTGAATCAATTTGGTGAAGCAACAAATTCCTGTACAATTAAAGTAATGGATGGAAAACGTATTGAAACTGGTTCATTTTTTCCTGAAACATTAAAAACAATTGAACAATTAGAACAACCAATGAAATATCGATCAACCGGGCAATTTGAACTACCACAACAACCAAAACAACAAGGACAACCACCTTATTTTACAAATCATATACAGAATATGGTCGTACCTGAAGGACAAAATGTTATATTTGAATGTACAGTAAAACAACCGCAACCACAACAACAGGAACCATTAGAATTTAAAATTCTACATAATGGCCAAGAAATTCAAATTGGAAATCGAATTCTCGTTCAAAATGAATTTGGTTATGTTCGTGTTGAAATAGCCGGTGTTAAACCAGAAGATTCTGGTATTTATACAGTAAAAGTTTCAAACAGTTTTGGTGAATCAACATCAACAGCATCGTTGAATGTAATAACAACAACCGATGTTGATTATCAAACAACATTACATCCATCCGGTATGAAAGGAATGAAAGCTATTGAACAAATGGAAAAACAGCAGCAACAAAAATATAAATCATTCATAACAACTAGTACGACTGTTGTACCGGAATTATCTACTGCAACACCACCAAAATTCACCAGAAAATTACCGAATGAAATCCGTATAAATGAAGGTAATGATTTGGAATTAAATTGTGAATTATCATCAGCGGATAATAATCCGAAAATTGAATGGTTTCTGAATGGTTCGCCATTAAAATGTTCATCCAGAATAAATCAAATACAAGAATTTGGTCGTATTTGTTTAACTATTCGAAAATCTGAACCAAAAGATTCTGGTTTATATAAATGTCGTGCAACAAATTTGTATGGTGAATCATATACAACAACACAGGTTCTAGTACAACCTGAATCAATAACATCTATTCAAGAATCAGTGTATTTTGAACAAACAACAACTATCGAGGATGAAGAAATCATTGATAAATTACCATCAATAATACCATTAACTGATACGGAAATCAGTTTGAATGAAGGTTCAAATATTCATTTGGAAGTTAAAGTTGATCCAATGAATGATCAATCAATGAATATTGAATGGTATCATAATGAAATTGAATTAAATATTGGTAATCATATAACAACATTTCATGGTTTTGGTTTTGCAATTTTGGAAATTAATGATATCAATACTAATGATAGTGGTACATATAAATGTTTGGCGCGAAATTCAAAAGGATATTCACAGCAAACATTTCAGGTTAATATTGTTGAAAGTCAAGAGCAACCGGGACAACCAGGACAACCCGAACAGCAACAACCAGAAAAACCACAATTTCAAAAACCAATAAACGATGATATCCAAGTGGTTGAAGGTGAAAGTATTCATGTTGCAACAACAGTTATACCGAATGATATAAACTTGGAATGGTTTCATAATGGTAAACCATTACAACAAAGTTCCAGGATTAAAACAACCAATGATTTTGGACAGGTTGTATTGGAAATATCAAAAGTTGAACCAAAAGATTCGGGTGAATATTTATTTGTAGCTACGAATAAATTCGGTATCGATACATTTAAATTCAATCTGAATTGTCCTGAAACAACTAATATCGATCAAACCGGGCAGATGTTTGATCCAAAATATAAATCAACGTTACAGATGAAAACATCACAACAACAACAACAACCACCAAAATTTAATCGTAAATTACCTGAACAAATTATTGTTCAAGAAGGACAATCAATACATTTAGAAAGTGATTATCAACCATTTGATGGTCAAGTGCAGATTGAATTTTTGAAAAATGGAAAACCATTAATATCAAATGAACGTTTTCAAACAATAAATGAATTTAGTTTTGCTATTTTGGATATTGTTTATGTTTATGAAGAAGATTCTGGCCAGTATGAAATACGTGCCATTAATCCTTTTGGCATGGATTCTATCAATACACAGGTTATTGTTCAATCAAAAGATCAGCAACCACCTGGTGAAACAACAACAGTACCTACAATCAGCTATATTGATCGTATTGTTTCAGGTCGGACAACATATTTACAGCGGGAAAAAGAAACCATCCGTCGTTATGAAGCACCAAAATTTGAACAACCATTGGATGATAAAACCAATTTGAATGAAGGTGATTGTGTACATATGGAAACACGTATACAACCATCACAAGATCCATCATTAACAATTGAATGGTTTAAAGATAATCAACCATTACGTGCATCAAATCGTATACGTACAATAAATGAATTTGGTTTTGTCATACTGGAAATTAGTCCCGTTTGTTCGGAAGATAGTGGTCTTTATACTGTACGTGCTATGAATGATGTTGGTGAAGCAGTCCTGTCAACCAGAATATTCTGTCATGATAGTCGTAATATTGTATATGAAAGTCAAATTCTACAACATACAAAACGTATGGATCAATCACAAGTGTTCAATCAGGACAAACAACAAAAACCAAGATTTTTAGATCAATTAAATGATTTGAATATGCAAGAACATGATTTTATACATTTGGAATCACGTTTAATACCGATTGGTGATCCAACAATGTCTGTTGAATGGTTTGTTAATGGGAAACCATTTACAACCGGATCAAGATTTCGTACTATTAATGATTTTGGTTATGTTGTACTGGAAATTATTGAAGCTTATGCACGTGATTCAGGTGTTTATGAATGTATTGCTAAAAATCAATTCGGTCAAGATTCGATTCAATGTCAGATTAATATTGAAAAATCTAAAACAATTATTACTGAAACACAATTACCTGTTGAACATAGTCAAATGTTACAAACATTAGAACAACGTATTCAATCATCAATGTTAAGACCTGAAGATCAACAGCAACCAGAATATCCAATACCAAAATTTTTTCGTAAAATTGAATCAACAATCCATCGGAAAGAAGGTGATTCATTACATATTGATTATCGTATTGAACCATCAAATGATCCTGATTTATTGATTGAATGGTTTTTAGATGGCCAACCATTATTAACTAGTTCACGTATACATTCAATAAATGATTTTGGTTTTATTGTTTTAGATATTGATTGGTTGTTTGATCGTGATTCAGGTACATATCAATGTGTTGCTAGTAATCGATCCGGTAGTGATACATTTGCATTCAATTTAATTGTAAAACCTGAATCAAATATTATTTATGATAGTCAATTACAACCAACAATTCAACAATCACAACAACAATCACGTGATCAACAACAACAACAAACACCACATTTTACAAAATTATTACCCGAAAAATTCATTATAAATGAAGGTGAAAATATACATTTTGATAGCCGAATTGAACCATTTGGTAATGGTGAAATGAAAATTGAATGGTTACATAATCAACAACCATTACGATCGGGTCATCGTCATAAAACTATTAATGATTTTGGTTATATTTCATTGGATATTATATCGGCTGATTTAGATGATTCTGGTTGTTATACTTGTGTAGCCAGATCACCGTATGGTGAAGATCAAATTAAATCAATGGTCGAAGTAAGACCTCGGCCAAAATTTGATTTTAAACCACAAATACCCCGTGAAGTATTTACTACGTTTGAAAATATTGAACAACAACAACAGCGGACACCATCCGAGTTAATAACACCGGATGATGGCAGTGGTAGACGTGAAAATTCTGCACCAATATTTGTACAAAAACCAGAACCATTATGTGTATTGGAAGGTGAAGTTGCCCGGTTTTGTTGTCGTATAATTGGTCATCCAAAACCAAGAGTAATATGGACATTAAATGGTAAACCAATACCGAATGGTTCACGATATAAAATTCGTTATGATGGTATACATCATTTGGAAATACCAAAAACTAGACAATATGATCAAGGGAAAATCGAAGTGATTGCAAAGAATAATTTTGGTGAAGTATCCGCAGCGACAATGTTAGAAGTACGTCCAAAAAATGCTGATTATCGTGCCATTCTTAAACATTCACCAAAAAGTAAGTTTGATTTTTTGATTTTCATTTTAACCATAATTAACCACACTTTCTTTCTTCTGCAAACTTTCTACAGCAAATTATGATGATAATGTTGAAAAATATCAAAAATCACGTAAAGAACATGAAACTGAAAATATATTTGAAGAAAGATTAAATGATAAAAAAGAAGAAATTGTTTGGTATACTGAACAATCAGAAGATGGTGAAAGGATTAAAATCCGTGAACATTTAGTTGATTATGTACCGATAAAAGCTGATGCAACATATTGTAAAGATGAAGTTACTTCATCAACCAAAGAACCATTGGAAATTGAAACAAAAAAGAAATTTAAAATAATATCATCGCCAAAAACAACTATTTCTACCCAATTGGATACCGAATCACAAACATTAATACATGGTCATGAAATAGTTACAAAAGAACAAAAACAAATACAAAAAGAATTACGTGATCAAATGGAAATAACTAGGAAAATTAAAGAAACAAGTTCATTGGATCAAGAACATAAACTAATGATTGCTGAACATAAAATTCAACAAAAACCACAAACAATTATAATTGGACCAAGATTTATAAAAAAAATTAAACCATGTCGTGTTAATGAACGTAATGAAGCACGTTTTGAATGTGAATATTCCGGGCGGCCAACACCAACAGTAACATGGTATCGTGAAAATTTTGAAATACAAAATTCTGATGATTTTAAGGTAGGTTTATTTTTTTTTTGCTGGGAAATTTCCCGGAAAACTGATTTTTCTGAAAAATTTCTTTTTCCCCTTATCATAGATTATAACCGAAGAATTTAAATCAACATTAATTATACAGGAAGTTTTTGTTGAAGATTCCGGTATATTTAGTATATCGATACAGAATGATGGTGGCCAGGCTAAATGTTCAGCAAATTTAATTGTTGAAGAAATCAGAAAAAAATCTGATGATATACCACCAAGTTTTACAAAAACAATACAATGTATAAGAACCAGAACTGGTTTGGTTATAACATTAGATTCAAAAATTAATGGTTCACAACCAATGAATGTATTTTGGGCTAAAAATGGACAACGTATACAAGAAGATAAAAAACATCGTATTGTTGAACATGAAGATCAATATACATTAGTAGTATTGGATGCAAATATCAATGATTCTGGTCAATATGAATGTGTTGCAATGAATAATGTTGGTGAAGCACGTTGTTTAGCTGAAGTTATTGTTGAAGATTCTGATGAACAATCAATTGAACAACAACAACAACAATCATTGGTTGAACCAAATGTAATTGAAAAATTAAAAGATTTAATTGTTAAAGAAGGACAATCAGCTGTATTCAAATGTCGTATTACATGCGGTACGAATCAGGAAATACTGTGGTATAAAGATGATGAAATTATTAAACAATCAAGATATTTTCGTATGACATCTGATCGTGAATATCATACATTACGTATATATGAAGCATTCACTGAAGATGAAGGTATTTATCGTTGTCAAATTGGTCGGATATCAACATCGGCTAGATTAAAAGTTATTTGTAAGTGTGAAATTTTTACTATGGGTTTTTTTCAATGAATTTCCCTAATCATATTTTGAATTGTTTTTTCCTTCCTCCCTTATTTTCCCGTTAATTTTTAGCCGATGAAGCGGAAAAACCAAAATTATCCGATCTAAATGATATAACAACCAAAGAAGATTCACAATTATATGCAACATGTACGTTATCTGGTTCACCAACACCAAAAGTAACATGGTATAAAGATGGTCAACAAATTTATCAATCAAGAGAAGTTCAGGTATAAACTAAAAACTAAGAAATTTTAAAATTTTATGAAAATGAAACCAAAAACTGAACACTCACACGCACAACACTTACCATCATTAACACTGAATTACACCACACGAAAAAAAACTGAAAAAAATTATGAAAATTTCAAAAAACAAATTTTTTTTTTTTTTGCATCCATTTTTCACTAACATCCTATTTTAACAACATTATTGGATACACTGAAAAAAACGATGGCTATTTATAGATGGCTATTTACACACCATCGACACACACAAATACAGTATAATTCTTTTCTTTTTTCTTTTAAAATTTCATTTTTTCATTTCCTTCTTTCTTTTTTTCTTTCTTTCTTTCTTTCTTTTTTCCCAAAAAACAAACAACAACAACAAAAAAAAAATACTTGCCTAAAATGATGATGATGAAATAAATTATCGTTGGAAAAATTTGATTTGAACTGATTTATTGATGATCGCATCGCATTGCGTTGAATTGCACTGAATTGTAGATTTTACAAGATGATATATCATGTACATTAATAATTGCACAAATATGTCCGGAAGATAAAGGTCAATATCGTTGTGTTGCTGAAAATCAATTGGGAAAATGTGAAAAAAAATTTAATGTTTTTGTTGAAAGTAAGGCAGGAGAGAGAGGGGTTAAGAGATTTTCTTAATTTCATTTTTTTGTTGCGTCCAAAACCAAACTGAAATAATTAGGGAAAAAACAACCGGCAAAAGATAAACCAGATGATGATATGGATGCGGATTTGGATGATGGAATACCCAGAGAAGATTGTCAGGTTAAATTTCTCAAACCATTACGACCAATAACCATTAGGAAAAATGAACCAATTTTATTGGAAGCTATTGTTGAATCACAACCAGCACCAAAAATATATTGGTTTCATGATTGCCGTAAGATAAAAGATTCACGTTTTCATCATATCAGCGAACAACGTAAACGTAATGATGATCAAACAAAAATCCTGACAACAAGTCAATTAGAAATTGCAAAAGCACATCCAAATGATTCGGGTAAATATACTGTTCGGGCTATAAATCGTTGTGGTGTACGTACATCATCGGTTAATGTTAATATTTTGGGTGAGTATTAAGGGGTTAAACGCAATGATAAACAAACTAAAAAAAATGCTTTCGAAAACAGGTGAAAAACCAGAATTTATTGAAAAAATTCCGGTAGAACTTTGTGTAAAAGAAGGCAATATAATAACGATTCGTTTAAAAGCTAATGGAAATCCAATGCCAACATTTAATTGGTATCATAATGGTCATCTAATACGTGATCGTAGATTTTTTATTGTAAAAACATTTGAAGAAATTGGTTGGACTGAATTAACAATAATGGAAATATTTAAAGATGATGAAGGTGAAATTAAATGTATTGCTGAAAATCAATATGGCCAAACACAAACAATTGGACAGATTAATGTTGAACGTAAGTGTTAACAAATAGTGGTAAAATTTATCTTGATATTCAATTTGAAAAAAAATCTATTTCCACCCAATAGAATTAAGTCCCAATGAACAACCAATAGATGTTTATGCTGATCTTGTAGCACCAGATTTCACCAGAACATTACGAAATAAAATTGTAAAATTAGGTGAAAAAGATTTCATCTATGAAGTAGATTATATTGGTAATCCAAAACCAATTATATTCTGGTATCATAATGGTAAAATTATTGATACGGATAATGATGATTATCGTGATTATTATCAAATTATAAATGATGGTTATAATTCAAAATTAATCATTTCGAAAATGAATGAAGAAGATATGGGTGAATATCGTGCAAGGATATTTTCATTTTTAGGTGAAGCAATATCGATTGCAGAGATAAAATTTCAACCTGAACCTGATCAGGATGAAATTGAATTTAAAGAAGAAAAAATTATTAAAAAAGTAATTAAAATAATTAAACGAAAATCCAAAGATGACGTACGACAGCCATCAACGATTGTTGAAGATGAGAAGAAAGAGGTAAAACCTTTGGAAAAACAATCATTAACACCACCACCACCACCACCAACCTTTCCTAAATTAACCCGTGATGATGATGATGGTATCCCTGATGTTGATGATAAAAAGTTACTAACCAAAGTAGTAAGTAGTAAAGTTGTTGATGATGATAAAAAGGTAAGTATTTACGATGATAATGATGATGTTGAAATGATGAATAAGTTGATGAAACGAGAGAAGGACGATGAAAAAATTTCCGCACCAAAAAAATCGATATTGAAAAAGAAAACAATCGATGATCAAATATCGATAGTATCATTATCGGAAGAAGAATCTATCGATGATGGTGGAAAAAAGCGAAGAAAATTGTATCAAAGACGAAGATCACAACGAAAATCAAAAGAAGATAAACAACCACAACCAAAACAACAACAAGAAGTTATTGAGGAAGAAATTCTGGAACATTTCCCAAGTCAAGATGAAAGGCAAAAATCAACAAAAACTTCTCGGAAATTAATTCTAAGACAAAAATTAAGAAATCCAAAAGATCAATCAGAAGAAATAACTGAAAAATTAATCGACCCTGATAATCTTTTGGAATTTTCTGTTGCACCTGGTCAACCTAAAATGATTATTTTCAAACGGAAAATGAAAAAAATTTCTGATGAAAATGAATTCATCATTGATCAACGTGATATAACTAGAGAAATAATAAAAATTATTGATGAAGAAATTCAAGAAATTCCGGATTCTAGCGAAGATTCGATGAAGAAAAAATATCTTCTACGTCGAAAACTTAAACTACCTGATGGCAGTGAACAAATAAGTGAACAAATTATTTCACCAGAAGATGTGGTTGAGATATCCTCACCACCAGGACAAAAACCGAAGGAAAAACCTCGAATATTGGTGCGAAAAGCGATTGAAATAAAGAAGAAAGAATTATCACCCAAGAAACAAGAGAAATTTCCCGAAAAAATACAGAAAATGTTAACGGAAGAAATTTTTGAATTTCCCGGTGATGAAAAAGGAATGCCAAAAAAATTAATTATAAGAAGGCAATTGGAAAATTCTGATGGATCTATGATTGAACAACAAATTTCTGGTCATGAAATCAAACCTGAAGATTTCATCCTTGTAAAAGGAGAAATTATCAGTCAGGAGATTATCGAAATACCAGTCGAACCGAGAAAATTCATTATAAAACGCAAATTACGTCAACCAAATGGAAAAGAAGTAGTGATTGAACAACCGTTTGATGAACGGGATCATCTTGTTCGGCCAAGCATTCAGATTGATGAAATCGAATCCAGAAGAATAACCGAACTAAGTGAAATTGAAAAAGTCATCGAATCAGATGATAAGAAAGTGGAGAAATCTTCCCGAAAAGAAATGATAAAAATATCGGAAGAATTGATTGAAGTTCCGTCGGAAAAACCTGAGAAAAATCAACCAAAAAAAACAATAATTAAAAGAAAATTTCGACAACCAGATGATGGTAAAGAATTTGTTGAACAAATTGAAATTGAGAAATTTCCCCGAAAACCTAGAAAACTTGTTGTACGTAAATATCTTATAGATGATAATGACGATAAAAAACTTTTATCCGAAGAAAGAATAATTTCCGAAGAAATTATTGAAATTCCCGAGAAAGTTTCTGAGGAAAAATCTAAAAAAATACTTATTCGTCGTAAATTGAAACCCGATGTAATTGAAACAGAATTTATTCGTAAAAAAGATATTGTTGAAGAAATTTTCGATGTAATCACAGAAGAATTCGTGGAATTACCGACAGATGATAAGGAGGAAGAAACAAAAAAATTGATAATAAAACGTCGATTGAAAAAATCTGATGGTACTGAAGAAATTATGGAACGGCTCGGTGAACCAGATCAATTGATATTGATGAAAAAAGAGAAAGAAATGCTGCCGGAGCCAATTACCTGTGAACCAGATCGATTGGAAGAAATTACCAAAGAAACAACCGAAGAAATTGAAGAACCGAAAAAATTGAGTAAAAAGATATTAACAAAACGAAAAGTTAAACGGCAAGAAATTGTGGAAAAAATTATCGATGTTCCATCAGTTATTGATCAAGAACGTCAACAACAACAAGCTCAGATAACGGAAGGTGAAATTATCTTGGAAGAATTGATCGAAGTTTCACCGTTAGATATCGGGAAAGATGAAATTAAACCAGAGGAAAAAATTACCGAAACAATTTCGGATAAAAAAACTGACGAAGACGAAATGGAAAAACAAAAAGATTCAGAAGAATTTCGGAAAAAGAAAACATTGAAAAAATCAAAACCAAAAGAAATAGTTTCAAAACCAAAAAGCGAACCGAAAGAATTGGTTCCAGAAAAAATGATGATTGAAGATAAACCAGAAAAGTTGAAAAAACTTGCAACTTTGAAACAAGAAACTGAAGATCAAAAGATTGAAAAACAGTTACAATTACCGTCGATTGACAATGAGAAAATGGAAAAATTTCCAGAAGAAATGATGAAAGTTACGATTGATGAATTACCGATAGCAGATCAAACAGTAAAAATGATTGTTGAGCAACAGATACCTGTCGATGATAATATTATTGAAATTTCATTCAAAGAACAAGAAAAAGTTGAACCAAAATTTGATCGAAAAATTGAATCACCAGACAAAATCGACGAAATGATTGCAACTAGCGAAGAAGAACAAATTTCAAAGAAACCGAAAAAGATTTTCATTAAAGGAAAACAAGAAAAACCTACCTATGTGGATCAAACATTCGTAGATTTAGATACGGAAAAAGACAATGTTGAAATCGTTTGGGAAAAAATTCAACAATTACCGTCGGATAAAACGAAAAAGATGATAAAAATTTGTAAACAGAAGAAACCGGATGGCAGTGAAGAAATTGTCGAACAAATCACCGAAGTGACTGATGAACAAGAACAAAAACCAATGATTATACGACCCGAATCACCAAAACAAAATGTGATAACTGAAGGTGAAATTATTTCCGAAGAAATTACAGAAATTTCACCAAATACAACAACAACAACAGAACAAGAAAAAGTAAAAAAATTAACAATAAAACGTCAGATTCGACGGCCAGATGGCGTTGATGAAACAGTTATTTTAAAAGATGTTAAAGAAGAAATCGTTGAAATCCGATTACCAGAAGAAAAATTGCCGGAAAAGTTGGAAAAATCAGAAGTTACTGAAAAGATTGCCAAACAAATCGATAAAATTGACAGTGATAAAATTGATAAAAGAAAAATAATCAAACGTCAAGAACCGATTAAAAAACCGGAAGAAATGATAATTTTGAAAGAAAAACCAAAACCAACAACATTGGTAAAAATTTCGGAAGAAATTACTGAAGATGTTACTGGAGATATACCGAAAAAGATTCATAAAATACGTAAATTTCGTAAACCAAAAGATAGTAAAATGCCTGAATTGAGTGAAATTAAACCCGATGATATTATCGAAGAAATTGAAGAAATCGTTGGTGAAGAAATTCTGGAAGAATTACCACAAAAACGAAGCGATCCAAAGAAAACAATCATAAAAAGACGATTGAAAAAACCAAATGAATTCGAAGAAATTCTGGATCAAATCGAAATTGAAGAATATCCGAAAAAACAGAAAAAAATAATCGTTCGTAAATATCGGCAACGACCCGAGGATAAAAAACCAAAACTGTTGGAAGAGGAAAAAATTCTTCAGGAAAAAATTATTGAAATTCCTTCGGAAGAATCGGAAAAATGGAAAAAGATTTTGTTTCGTCGAAAATTAAAACCGGGTACGGTTGAAACTGAATTTATATTGGAAAAAAATGTTATGGAAGAAATTGCCGAAGTAACATCGGAAGAGATTGTTGAATTACCATGTCAAGATAGACCTGAAGAACCGAAAAAATTAATTATTCGAAGTACAGTGAAACAACCGGATGGTACTGTGGAAATTATGGAAAGACCTGCAGATAAATCAATGATAATGGAAAGTGTTGATGGCAAAACAAAGTTGAAAATTATTCGAAGACCAGTGGTTCAATTTGATAGTGATGAATTATTTGAATTTTCAATGGAAAAATTGGAAAAAATGAAAAAAGTTGTTGAAAGTAAAAAACCTGAAGAGGTGCAGGCAATTTCTCGGGAAGAAATGACGGAAAAAACTGATGAACCACATGATGTAATCATCCAGGAAGAGTTAATTTCTGAAGAAACAACAAAAGAAATCAAAGAACCAGGTAAACCAAAAAAGATAATAACCATACGAAAAGTCAAAAGGCCAGATAACGAAGAAGAAGAAATTGTCGAACAAATCACCGAAGTGCCTGATGATCAAGATCGGAAACCAAAAACAATGATCATAAGAAAATATCGACCCGAATCACCAAAACAACAACAAATGATAACAGAAGGTGAAATTATTTCCGAGGAAATAACCAAAATTCTACCAAAAACAACAGACCGAGAAAAAGTAAAAAAATTAACAATAAAACGTCAAATTCGACGGCCAGATGGCGTTGATGAAACTATCATTTTAAAAGATGTTCAAGAAGAAATTGTTGAAATTCCAATTGAAGAAATTATTGAACAGCCAGTGAAAGATAAAATTGTTGATGAGGATGCTGATGAACAAATCAAAGAAATCATTGAATTACAATCGGATCAGAGAAAAAAATTGATTATAAAACGAAGAAAATCCGTTGAAACAGTCGATGTTATTGATGAAGAATTGATTGAAACAATGGAAAAAGAAGATTCCGAAGATAAAAAATTAATCCTACGAAGAATAATACGAAAATCAGATGGATCGGCGGAACATTTCGATGAACCATTGAACGATATGAAAATTAAAAAAATGTTGATAATCACTGAAAAAGAAAAAGAAGAAGAAAAACCATTGGAAAAAATGGAAATAATTTCCGAACAAATTGTTGAATTACCGTTAGATAAACAGATTGAAAAATCGAAAAAGATTATATTTGAAAGAAAATTAAGAAAACCGGATGGAAAAGAATTAATTGAAATGAAAGATGTAACCGAAGAATCGGCAGTTATTGTTGATGAAGAAATAATTGAATTACCGATAATGGTCAAAGATAAACAAGTTGATAATGTTTCAAAGGTTGAAAAACCAAAAAAATTGATTCTTAAACGTAAACTTCAAAAATTTGATGGTAGTGAAATGATAAATGAACAATTTGTCAAAAAACAAGAAGAAGAAGAAGTGAGTGGCAAAATGAAACCAGAAGAAACTACCGAAAAACAGCCTGAAATAAAAGAATTTATCGAAGTTTCTGAAGTAGTGGAAACAATCGAAGAAATTGAAGAAACTCCGGAAGGTGAGAAGAAAATTGTTCACAAAATCAAAAAAGTGAAAAAACCAAAGGAACAGAAACCAGAAGAATATGTTGAACAACCCGATGATCATATAATCGTTGATGAAACGAAAAAACCGAAGAAAATTATACGGAAAATTAAAAAACCAGGTGAAATAAGCGAAGAAGTGTCGCCTATGACTGAATTTGTTGAAATTTCTGACGTAGTGGAGACCATAGATAAGATCGAAGAAACACCTGAAGGAACAAAGAAAATCATAAGAAAGATTAAGAAAATAAGAAAACCAGAAGAGAAAATGTCAGAAGAATACGTTGAACAACCAGATGAACATTTAATTGTAGACGAAACGGGCAAACCAAAGAAAATCATTCGAAAGATTAAAAAATTCAAAGATGAAGAAGATGTTTTGATTAAAGAATCGATCGATCTGAAAAAAGACAAGAAGAAAGTTAAAAAACCAGAAAAGACAAAACCCAAAGAATACGTAGAACAACCTGGTGATCATGTAATCGTTGATGAAATGAAAAAACCGAAGAAAATCATAAGGAAATTCAAAAAACCGGGTGAAGTAACAGAAGAAGTGACACAAAGAACTGAATTTGTCGAAGTTTCAGATATCGTCGAGACCATTGAGCAGGTTGAAGAAACACCGGAAGGAGACAAGAAAACTGTTCACAAAATCAAAAAAGTAAAGAAACCGGAAGATAAAAAGCCAGAAGATTATTTAGAACAGCCTGGAGATCATATAATTGTTGATGAAAGTGAAAAACCGAAGAAAATCATCAGGAAAATCAAGAAAACTGAAAAACCTAAAGACGTTGTTACTGAAGAAACAATTGAACTTACAAAAGACAAAAAGAAGATCGTATTGAAAAAGCCCAAGAAGCCAGATGAAGAAGTGACTGAAGAATTAAAAACAGAAGTCAGTTTTGAAACTGATACAAAAGATAAGATTGGAGAAAAACCAGAAGAAACAATTGAAGAACAACCTGAGATGAAAGAATTTATCGAAGTTTCTGAAGTTGTCGAAACAATCGAAGAAATTGAAGAAATGCCTGAAGGTGTGAAGAAAACTATTCACAAAATCAAAAAAGTAAAGAAACCGACTGCACAGAAACCCGAAGAATATATTGAACAACCTGGTGATCATGTAATCGTTGATGAAACAAAAAAGCCAAAGAAAATCATAAGAAAAATCAAGAAACCAGGTGAAGTGACGGAAGAAGTGTCGCCAATGACTGAATTTGTTGAAATTTCTGATATCGTCGAAACAATCGAGCAGGTCGAAGAAACACCTGAAGGAGACAAGAAAACTGTTTTCAAAATCAAAAAAGTAAAGAAACCGGGTAAAGCCAAACCAGAAAAATATGTTGAGCAATCTGGTGATTATGTAATCGTTGATGAGACAAATGAACCAAAGAAAATAATCCGCAAGATTAAGAAATTTGAGAAAACAGATATTGTGACAGCAGAAAAAATGGATGTTTTAAAAGACAAGAAAATGACAACACCAGAAAAGCCAGGTGAAACACTGGCTGAACAAATGAAACCGGAGATCAGTTTCAAATCAATGCCAGAAGAAAAACTATACGAAATGACCGATGAACAATTAGAGATGAAAGAATTCATTGAAGTTTCGGAAGTTGTGGAAACAATCGAAGAAATAGAAGAAATGCCAGAAGGCGAGAAGAAAACTGTTCACAAAATCATTAAAGTGAAGAAACCAAAGGAAAAGAAACCTGAAAAATACGTTGAACAACCTGGCGATCATATAATTGTAGATGAAACGAAAAAACCAAAGAAAATCATCAGGAAAATCAAGAAACCAGGTGAAGTGACAGAAGAAGTGACGCCAATGACTGAATTTGTAGAAATTTCAGATATCGTCGAAACAATCGAGCAGGTCGAAGAACCACCTGAAGGAGACAAGAAAACTGTTTTCAAAATCAAAAAAGTAAAGAAATCAAAAGATGAAAAGCCTGAAGAATACGTTGAGCAACCAGATGAACATTTAGTCGTAGACGAAACGGGGAAACCAAAGAAAATTATTCGAAAGATTAGAAAATCAGAAGTTGAAAAAGATGAAGAAAAAGTGGCTGAAGAAATGAAACCAAAAGTCAGTTTTGAAACTGCTTTAAAAGATAAGCCAATGGAAAAATCAGAAAAAACAACTGAAGAACAACCTGAGATGAAAGAATTTATCGAAGTTTCCGATGTTGTCGAAACAAAAGAAGAAAAAGAAGAAACTCCGGAAGGTGTGAATAAAACTGTTCCTAAAATCAAAAAAGTAAAGAAACCAGAAAAGACAAAACCCGAAAAATATGTTGAACAACCTGGTGATCATGTTATCGTTGATGAAAAGAATAAACCAAAGAAAATTATACGGAAAATCAAAAAACCAGGCGAAGTAACAGAAGGTGTGATACCAATGACTGAATTCATCGAAGTTTCAAAAGTTATAGAAACAATTGATGAAATTAGTGAAATGCCAGATGGCAAAAAGAAAATCATCAAAAAAGTTAAAACGGTTAAAAAACCGGAAGATAAATTGACAGAAGAATATGAAAAGAAACCAGATGAAAACCTCTTGTTTGATGATTCTGGCAAACCCAAAACAATCATCCGCAAAATCAAAAAACCGGATGATAAAAAAGAATCAAAAGAAGAAAAAGACTTAAAAAAGAAAAAGAAACAATTTTTGAAACCAGATGAAGAAGTGGCTGAAGAAATGAAACCAGAAGTCAGCTTTGATAAGTTAAAAGAAAAACCAGAAGAAGCGGCCGAAGAAACAACTGAGATGAATGAATTCACCGAAGTTTCTGAAGTGGTAGAGACAGTCGAAGAAATTGGAGATACACCTGATGGTGAAACGAAAACTGTTCAAAAAATTAAGAAAGTTAAGAAACCAGAAAAAACCAAACCCGAAGAATCCGTTGAGCAACCTGGTGATCATGTAATCGTTGATGAGACGAAGAAAACGAAAAAAGTCATACGTAAAATTCCAAAACCAGACGAAGTAACTGAAGGAGTTATACCAATAACTGAATTTGTTGAAGTTTTGGAAGTAGTGGAAACAATCGACGAAATGGAACAAACTCCTGATGGAGAAAAGAAAACTGTTCACAAAATCATAAAAGTAAAGAAATCAAGGGATGAAAAGCCAGAAGATTATGTAGAACAGCCTGATGATTATTTAGTTGTGGATGATGAAACGGGCAAACCAGAGAAAATCATCAGAAAGATCAAAAAATTAGAGAAACCAGAAGAAATTTTGGGAAAAGAAAAAATTGATCTTGCAAAAGACGAGAAAAAGATTGATTTGGGAAAAACAGAAAAGCCTGTAGAAGAAATTGGGGATGAAATGAAATCAGAAGTTTGTATAAAAACTGAGCCAAAAGATGAACCAAAAAAAGAACAAGAAGAAACAACCGAAAAACAGCTTGAAATGAAAGAATTTATTGAAATTTCCGAAGTTGTTGAAACAATCGAAGAAATTGAAGAAACTCCGGAAGGAGTGAAGAAAACTGTTCACAAAATCAAAAAAGTGAAGAAACCGACAGGACAGAAACCAGAAGAATACGTTGAACAATCTGGTGATCATGTAATCGTTGATGAAACAAAGAAACCAAAAAAGATTATTCGAAAAATCAAAAAACCAGGTGAAGTTACCGATGAAGTGACACCATTAACTGAATTTGTCGAAGTTTCACAAGTTGTCGAAACTATCGAAGAAATCAGTCGAACATCAGAAGGCGAAAAGAAAACTGTTCACAAAATTAAGAAAGTAAAGAAACCGGGTAAAGCCAAACCAGAAGAATACGTTGAGCAACCTGGTGATTATGTAATCGTTGATGAGACAAATGAACCAAAGAAAATAATCCACAAGATTAAGAAATTTGAGAAACCAGATATTAGGAGAGAAGAAAAAATGGATGCCACAAAAGACAAGAAAAAGATTGTCTTAGAAAAATCAAAGAAACAAAGGGAAGAACTAACTAAGGAAATGAAACCAGAGATCAGTTTCAATTCAATGCCTAAGGGGCCAGAAGAAAAACTACACGAAAAGACCGATGAACAAATAGAGATGAAAGAATTCATTGAGGTTTCTGAAGTAGTGGAAACAATCGAAGAAATTGAAGAAATGCCTGAAGGTGAGAAGAAAACTGTTCACAAAATCAAAAAAGTAAAGAAACCCGAAAAAACGAAACCCGAGGAATACGTTGAACAACCTGGTGATCATGTAATTGTTGATGAGACGAAAAAACCAAAGAAAATCATTCGGAAAATCAAAAAACCTGGTGAAGTAACCGAAGAAGTGTCGCCAATGACAGAATTTGTTGAAANAGTCATAGACGAAACGGGAAAACCAAAGAAAATAATTCGAAAAATTGAGAAATCTGAAGAGCCAAAAGATGTCTTAGTCGAAGAATCAATTGAACTTACAAAAGACAAAAAGAAAATTGTTTTGAAAAAGCCCAAGAAACCTGAAGAAGAAATCGCTGATGAAATGAAACCAGAAGTCGGTTTTGAAACTGCTCTAAAAGATAAACCAGAGGAAAAACGAGAAGCAACAACTGAAGAACAACCAGAAATGAAAGAATTCATTGAAGTTTCTGAAGTGGTTGAAACAGTTGAAGAAATTGAAGAAACACCTGAAGGAGAAAAGAAAACTGTTCATAAAATTAAGAAAGTTAAGAAACCCGAAAAATCCAAACCAGAAGAATATGTTGAACAACCTGGTGATCATGTAATCGTCGATGAAACAAAGAAACCGAAGAAGATTATTCGAAAAATTCCAAAACTAGACGAAGTAACAGAAGAAGTGACACCAATGACTGAATTTATTGAAATTTCGGAAGTAGTGGAAACGATGGATGAGATTGAATCAACACCTGATGGCATAAAGAAAATTATTAAAAAGATTAAGAAAGTAAAGAAACCAGAAAAGGAAAAACCTGAAGATTACGTTGAACAGCCTGGTGATCATATAATTGTGGATGAAACGAAAAAACCAAAAACAATTATCCGAAAGATTAGTAAACAGGATGATTATATAAAAAAATCAACAGAAGACATTGTTCAGAAAGACAAAAAGAAAATTGTATTGACAAAGCCGAAAAAACTAGATGAAGAAGTGACTGAGGACATGAAACCAGAAGTTAGTTTTGAAACAATTTCCAAAGATGAACCCGTGAAGAAACAAGAGAAAACAATTGAAGAACAGCCAGAAATGAAAGAATTCATCGAAGTATCCGAAGTGGTAGAAACAATCGAAGAAATTGAAGAAACACCAGAAGGAGAAAAGAGAACAGTTCACAAAATCATAAAAGTGAAAAGACCAAAAGAAAAGAAACCGGAAAAATACGTTGAACAACCTGGTGATCATGTAATCGTCGATGAGACGAAGAAACCAAAGAAAATTATACGAAAAATTAAGAAGCCAGGTGAAATGACAGAAGAAGTGACACCAATGACTGAATTCGTCGAAATTTCAGATATTGTTGAAACAACAGAAGAAATCAGTCAGACACCTGATGGTAAGAAGAAAATTATACGAAAAATCAAAAAAGTGAAAAAACCTGAAGATCAAAGAGCCGAAGATTATGAAAAGAAACCAGATGAACATTTGGTTGTTGATAAGCAAACAGGTAAACCAAAGAAAATTATTCGAAAGATAAGCAAACCCGAAGATGAAAAAGAATCAATTGAAAAACATGTCGAACCAAAACCAGAAAAAATTCAAATAAAACCAAAATCCAGAAAAGAATCACTGATGGAAAAAGAAACTGAAAATGTTTCACTAAAACCAAAGGAAACATTTGTTACAATTTCAGAAGAAATTATTGATCAAACAAGTCCATCAGGAGTTTCGCCGAAAAAAATTCACAAAATACGTAAATTTCGTAAACCAAAAGATGGTAAAATGCCTGAATTGAATGAAATTAAACCCGAAGATATNGAAGAAACACCAGAAGGAGAAAAGAGAACAGTTCACAAAATCATAAAAGTGAAAAAACCAAAGGAAAAGAAACCCGAAAAATACGTTGAACAACCTGGTGATCATGTAATCGTTGATGAAATGAAAAAACCGAAGAAAATCATCAGGAAAATCAAAAAACCAGGTGAAGTAACCGAAGAAGTGCTGCCAATGACTGAATTTGTCGAAGTTTCAGATATCATCGAGTCTACCGAACAGATTGAAGAAACCCATGAAGGTAAGAAGAAAATCATAAAAAAGATTAAAAAAGTAAAGAAACCAGAAGAGGAAAAACCTGAAGAGTATGAGAAAAAACCAGATGAACATTTGGTTGTAGACGAAACAGGTAAACCAAAGAAAATCATTCGTAAGATTAAAAAGCCAGAAGATAAAAAAGAATCCAAAGAAGAAATTGATCTTAAAGACAAAAAGAAAATAATTCTGAAAAAGCCTAAGAAGTCAGAAGAAGAAATTACTGACGAAATGAAAACAAAAGTAAGTTTTGAAACAATTTCAAAAGATAAACCAGAGGAAAAATCAGAAGAAACGACTGAAGAGCTGCCTGATATGAAAGAATTCATTGAAATTTCTGAAGTTGTGGAGACAATTGAAGAGATTGAAGAAATGCCTGAAGGCGTGAAGAAAACTATTCACAAAATCAAAAAAGTTAAGAAACCAGAAAAGACACAACCCGAAGAATATGTTGAGCAACCTGGTGATCATGTAATCGTCGATGAGACGAAAAAACCGAAGAAAATTATAAGGAAAATCAAGAAACCAGGTGAAGTAACTGAAGAAGTAACACAAATGTCTGAATTTGTTGAAATATCAGATATTGTCGAGACAATTGAAGAAATCAGTCAGACTCCAGAAGGCAAGAAGAAAATCATAAGAAAAATCAAAAAAGTAAAGAAACCAGACGATCAGACACCCGAAGATTATGAAAAGAAACCAGATGAACATTTAGTTGTTGATAAGGAAACAGGAAAACCAAAGAAAATTATTCGCAAGATTAAGAAATCTGAAGAACCAGAATATGATAAAATACCTGAAGATATTATAAGTGAAGAATTTATTGAAATGGTAAAAGATAAAAAGAAAATCATATTGAAAAAACAACAACAAAAACCTGAAGATGTAATTGAAAAATTAGAACCAGAAATTACAGTTGAGAAAATTTTAGAGGAAAAATTGAAGCAAGAACCATCGGAAATGATGGAACATTTTCCAGAAAAGGAGATTATAGAATTTGTCGAAGTTTCTGAAGTTGTAGAAACTATCGATGAAATTGAAGAAACTCCTGAAGGTAAAAAGAAAATTGTTCACAAAATTAAGAAAGTTAAGAAACCAGAGGAAAAGAAACCTGAAGAATACGTTGAACAACCTGGTGATCATGTAATTGTTGATGAGACGAAAAAACCAAAGAAAATCATTCGGAAAATCAAAAAACCTGGTGAAGTAACCGAAGAAGTGTCGCCAATGACAGAATTTGTTGAAATTTCAGATATTATTGAGACCATTGAACAGGTTGAAGAAACACCTGAAGGCAAGAAGATAATCATCAAAAAGATTGAGAAAGTAAAGAAACCAGAAGATAAATTGGCAGAAGAATATGAAACAAAATTAGATGAACATAACCTGTCCGATGATTCTGGCAAACCAAAGAAAATCATTCGCAAAATCAAAAAACCTGACGACATGAAAGAAACCAAAGAAGAAGACAAAGACTTCAAAGACAAAATGAAAATTGTTTTGAAAAAGCCTAAGAAGCCAGATGAAGAAAGGACTGAAGAAATGAAACCAGAAGTCAGCTTCGATAAGTCAAAAGAAAAACCAGAAGAAACGGCCGAAGAACCAACTGAGATGAATGAATTCATCGAAGTTTCTGAAGTGGTAGAGACAGTCGAAGAAATTGAAGAAACACCTGAAGGTGAAACGAAAACTGTTCATAAAATTAAGAAAGTTAAGAAACCCGAAGAAATTAAACCAGAAGAATACGTGGAACAAACTGGTGATCATATAATTGTTGATGAAACGAAAAAACCAAAGAAAATAATCCGTAAAATTCCAAAACCAGGCGAAGTAACTGAAGGAGTGACACCAATGACTGAATTTGTTAAAGTTTTCGAAGTAGTGGAAACAATTGAACAGATTGAAGAAACACCTGATGGAGACAAGAAAACTGTTTTCAAAATTAAAAAAGTAAAGAAATCAAAAGATGAAAAGCCTGAAGATTATGTAGAGCAGCCTGATGATCATATAATCGTTGATGAAACGAAAAAACCAAAGAAAATCATCAGGAAAACAAAGAAAATTGAAAAACCTGAAGTTGTTGCTGGTGAAGAAAAAGACATGAAAAAGATTGTCTTGAAAGAACAAGAAAAGACAGATGAAATGGCTGAAGAAACTAAACCAGAGGTCAAATTTGATGCTGTTCCAATTGATAAGCCAGAGAAAATAGTGGAAAAAAAGATCGATGTACAACCTGAAATGAAAGGATTCATTGAAGTTTCTGAAGTTGTTGAAACAATCGAAGAAATTGAAGAAAAGGCGAAATCAGAAGAATACGTTGAACAACCTGGTGAACATTTGATCGTAGATGAAGAAACGGGTAAACCGACCAAAATTATTCGAAAGATAAGAAAACCCGAAGATGAAAAGGAATCGAAAGAAGAAATTGACCTGAAAGACAGAAAGAAAATTATTTTGAAAAAACCAAAGAAACCAGAAGAAAAAGTGATAGAGGAAATAAAACCAAAAGTCAGTTTCAAATCAAGTCCTGAGGTTCAACAAGATGAAAAACAAGAAGAAACAACAGAAGAACAGCCCGAAATGGAAGAATTCATTGAAGTTTCTGAAGTTGTCGAAACAATCGAAGAAATAGAGGAAACACCAGAAGGAGAAAGGAAAACTGTTCATAAAATCATAAAAGTAAAGAAACCAGAAAAGAAGAAACTAGAAGAATATGTTGAACAACCTGGTGATCATGTAATCGTTGATGAAACGAAAAAACCAAAGAAAATTATTCGAAAAATTAAAAAACCAGGCGAAGTGACCGAAGAAGTGACACCAAAGACTGAATTTGTCGAAGTTTCAGATATTATCGAAACAACCGAACAGATTGAAGAAACACCGAAAGGTAAAAAGATACTCATTAAAAAGATAAAGAAAGTAAAGAAACCAGATGATGAGAAACCTGTAGAATACGTTGAACAACCAGATGAACATTTAGTCGTAGACGAAGTGGGAAGACCAAAGAAAATTATTCGAAAGATTAAAAAATCTAAAGAAATAGAAGATATTTTAGTTAAAGAATCCATTGATCTGAAAAAAGACAAAAAGAAAATTGTCTTGAAAAAGCCCAAGAAACCAGAGTATGAAATTACTGAAGAATTAAAACCAAAAGTCAGTTTTGAAAAGGCTCTAAAAGATAAGCCAGAGGAAAAACCAAAAGAAATGACTGAAGAACAACCTGAAATGAAAGAATATATCGAAGTTTCTGAAGTGGTGGAAACAATCGAAGAAATAGAGGAAACACCAGAAGGAGAAAGGAAAACTGTCCACAAAATCAAAAAAGTGAAGAAACCCGAAAATGCAAAACCAGACGAATATGTTGAACATCCTGATGATCATGTTATCGTAGATGAAACGAAAAAACCAAAGAAAATCATACGGAAAATCAAGAAACCAGGTGAAGTGACAGAAGTCACACCAATGACTGAATTTGTTGAAATATCAGATATCATTGAAACAACAGAAGAAATCAGCCAGACTCCAGAAGGCAAGAAGAAAATTATACGAAAAATCAAAAAAGTAAAGAAACCAGACGATCAGACACCCAAAGATTATGAGAAAAAACCTGATGAACATATTCTGTCTGATGATTCTGGTAAACCGAAGAAAATCATTCGTAAGATCAGAAAACAGGATGATAAAAAAGAGACAAAAGAAGAAATTGAATTGAAAGACAAGAAAAAGATTGTCTTGAAACGTTCTACAAAACCAGAAGAAAAAGTGATTGAAGAAATAAAACCAGAAGTCAGTTTCAAATCAAGTCCCGCCATTCAACCAGATGAAAAACCAGAAGAAACGACCGAAGAACAACCTGAAATGAAAGAATTTATTGAAGTTTCTGAAGTGATAGAAACAATCGAAGAAATTGAAGAAACACCAGAAGGAGAAAAGAGAACAGTTCACAAAATCATAAAAGTGAAAAAACCAAAGGAAAAGAAACCCGAAAAATACGTTGAACAACCTGGTGATCATGTAATCGTTGATGAAATGAAAAAACCGAAGAAAATCATCAGGAAAATCAAAAAACCAGGTGAAGTAACCGAAGAAGTGCTGCCAATGACTGAATTTGTCGAAGTTTCAGATATCATCGAGTCTACCGAACAGATTGAAGAAACCCATGAAGGTAAGAAGAAAATCATAAAAAAGATTAAAAAAGTAAAGAAACCAGAAGAGGAAAAACCTGAAGAGTATGAGAAAAAACCAGATGAACATTTGGTTGTAGACGAAACAGGTAAACCAAAGAAAATCATTCGTAAGATTAAAAAGCCAGAAGATAAAAAAGAATCCAAAGAAGAAATTGATCTTAAAGACAAAAAGAAAATAATTCTGAAAAAGCCTAAGAAGTCAGAAGAAGAAATTACTGACGAAATGAAAACAAAAGTAAGTTTTGAAACAATTTCAAAAGATAAACCAGAGGAAAAATCAGAAGAAACGACTGAAGAGCTGCCTGATATGAAAGAATTCATTGAAATTTCTGAAGTTGTGGAGACAATTGAAGAGATTGAAGAAATGCCTGAAGGCGTGAAGAAAACTATTCACAAAATCAAAAAAGTTAAGAAACCAGAAAAGACACAACCCGAAGAATATGTTGAGCAACCTGGTGATCATGTAATCGTCGATGAGACGAAAAAACCGAAGAAAATTATAAGGAAAATCAAGAAACCAGGTGAAGTAACTGAAGAAGTAACACAAATGTCTGAATTTGT